CCTTTGCTGTCTTGAATTTTAATGTTGTCTTGTTAATTTTGATTCTTAAAGCCTAAATGAAAAATACCAGAGAATATTAAGTGAAAAGCATAAAGATATTTCTCATGCTCTTTCATATTTTTAAAATAACTAAGAAGAAAGGTCTTTAATAATACTTTTATTTTGTATTAAATACTAATCAAACATTCCTTTAGAGCTTGTACCGGAACAGATTAAAATCTACAAGTCCACCTTTTCACCCAGATGTGCATTGAAGTCCAGCAACAGTCATGACTCATGGATTTATTTATTTTTATTATGACTTATTACATTGTCCTTATGACCACAGGAGAGATGGACAAGGAAATTCTTCCTGGAGAACTTTAACAGCAGTAAGAGATTCTTTTTATTGAGATAAGCTATAAGTATGGCAGAGTGCCAGAAGTGAAAAAACTGTACCCTATATCTCAGATTTTATTTGTTTGTTTGTTTTTAGTTATAGGACAAGATAATTTTGTTGTTGAATAAAATTGTGTGGAAATACATAAAACAGAATGAAATTTCTTGCTTTTTCCTTTGTCCACCTAATCATTTGAGACCTTCTTATTTATTGTTCTTATTTAAAAGACAAAGAAGAATGAACTAAGTAAACTGGGCCAATAGGTGAAAATATATTATTTTAATTGGATATTATAGTAGTTATCAAAGTGGGTGGCTTGAAATAAGAGAAAATTATTTTTTCATAGTTCTAGAGGCCAGAAATCAAAGTATTGACAGGGCTCTGCTGTAAAGGGAATCTGTTCCATGCCTTTTTCTTAGCTTCTTTGGTTACCAGCAATCCTTGGTATTCCTGTCTCTTTCTCTGTCATCACATGGCCCTGTGTGTCTGATATTGTCTTCCTTCAGCATGTGCCTGTCTCTGTGTGTCTTTTCCTCTTGTCATAGGACAACAGTAATGTTAAATAAAGGACCCATCCTACTTCAGTTTGACCTCATTTAACTTATATCATTTTTCAATATTTTTTTAGACTATCCTATTGTTTTTTGTTCAAATATATTTGTCTCCATTTTCCCTCCACCACTTTCCCCTGCCCCACCCACCCCCACCTGCCACCCTCAATCCTTCCCCACCTTGGCTTTGTCCCATGGGTCCTTTATACATGTTCCTTGATTTGACCCTTCCCCTTCTTTTCCCTTTCTCTTCTCCCTTCTCGTTACTGTCAGTTTCTTTTTTCTTTCAATGTTGCTGGTTATATTTTCCTTGCTTGTTTGTTTTGTTGATTAGGTTCTACTTACAGGTGAGATCGTATGGTATTTGTCTTTCACCACCTGGCTTATTTCACTTATCATAATGCTCTCCAGTTCCATCATGCTGTTTTGAAGGGTAGTAGCTTTCTTTCTTTCTTTTCTTTCTTTCTCTCTCTCTTTCTCTCTCTTTCTTTCTTTCTTTCTTTCTTTCTTTCTTTCTTTCTTTCTTTCTTTCTTTCTTTCTTTCTTTCTTTCTTTCTTTCTTTCTTTCTTTCTTTCTTTCTTTCTTTCTTTCTTTCTTTCTTTCTTTCTTTCTTTCTTTCTTTCTTTCTTTCTTTCTTTCTTTCTTCTCTCTCTCTCTTTTTCTTGGTTTCTTTCTTTCTGCTGTGCAGTATTCCATTGTGTAAATGTACCATAGTTTTTTGATCTACTCATTTGTTGATGGGCACTTAAGTTGCTTCCAGCAGCTGAATATTGTGAATAACACTGCTATGAACATTAGGGTGCATAGGTTCTTTTGAAGTGGTATTTTGGGGTTCTTAGGGTATAATCCCAACAGTGGAATCGCTGGGTCAAAAGGCAGTTCCATTTTTAGCTTTTTAAGGGAATTCCAAACTGTTTTCCACGGTGGCTGCACCAGTCTGCATTCCCACCAACAGTGTACTATAGGGTTGCCTTTTCTCCACAACCTTGTCAGCACTTGTTGTTTGTTGATGTGTTTATGTTGGCCATTCTGATTGGTGTGAAGTGGTATCTCATTGTGGTTTTAATTTGCATCTCTCTGATGGTTAGTGATGATTAGCATCTCTTCATGTGTCCCTGGGCCCTTCATATGTCCTTTTTGGAGAAGTGTCTGTTCAGGTCTTTTGCACATTTTTTTTAATTGGGTTGTTTGTCTTCCTGGAATGGAGTTGTGTGAGTACTTTATATATTTTGGAGATCAAACCATTGTCCAAGGTATCATTGGCACATATATTTTGTCCTATAGCTTGCTGATTCTATCCTCTGCTTCATCTAGCCTACTTTTGATTCCTTCTACTGTGTTCTTCAGTTCAGAAATTGTATTCTTCATTTCCTCTTGCTTCTTGTTGATAGTTTCTATGTCCTTTTTCATGCTGACATAGTTTTCAGTAAGTTCCTTGTAGTTTCCCTGTAGTTTTTGTAATTCTCTCTGAACTTACTGAGCTCATTGAGCTTCTTTATAATCATTGTTTTGAACTCAACATCTGATAGTTTAATTACCTCTATTTCATTTAATACTCTTTCTGGGGATTCCTCTTGCCCCTTCAGTTGGAGTTCGTTTCTTAGTCTTCCCATTATTTATGAGACTCTTCTTTTTTGCTTCTGTTTCTTCAATTGATCTGTCTTGTCTTCCTGACTTTGCAGTATGAACTTCTACAGTAGGAAACTTCTGCTTACTCTTTCTGGATCTGCCTTGATGATGCCAGCTGTTGACTTCGTCTGAACTTAGGCAGTCATTTAGAGACTTTCAGGAATCTACTGTCTGTGGCTGTCTCCTTCAGCTGTTAATCTAGTCATTCTGCACTCAGCAGTCAGGCTTAGGCACCACAGGGTGGGGCAGAGTCTCTCCTGTGGGTGGGGTTATTGTGTCCTCTCATGCTGCTGCTGCTCAAAGGAGCAGTCTGCTTGAGCAAGGTGGCTGCTGCCGTATGAGGGAGGAGTGAGCACCGGGATCCTGCTGGTTGCTCTCTCAGTTCTCTCCCAAAGTCTCTGTCTCTAGACTCTCCTCAAGCATCTCTAGGCCACTCTGCACCCCTCTTTAGCCAGGGATCTACTATCTGTGACTGCCACTCTGTACTCAGTAGTCAGGCTTGGGCACCACAGGGCCAGGGCAAGCCTCCTGGTCGGTGGGGCGGGGGGGTACTGTGTCCTCTTATGCTGCTGCCGCTCAGGGGAATGATTTGCCTGAGCAAGGTGGCTGCTGCCATATGAGGGAGGAGTTAGCACCGGGACCCCACCGACTACTCTCTGTTTTCTCCCCAAAGCTTCTTTCCCCAGTCTCTCCTCTGGCAACTCCAGCCCACTCTGCCCCGACTTTTGCTGGAGCCCAGGGTAAGTGGCTACAAATAAAAATTTATGCCCTTTAAATGGCTCTTTGCGTCTCAAGCCACCCATCTCTGGCAGAGAGCAACCCTGCTGCTTTTCACAGCTGGCTGTTATCTGTGTACTTTTTGGGCTCTGGTGTTGTAGGGTGGAGATCTCCACCTATGGTTCCAACCCCACTCTTCTCAGGGGGATCCAACTGGACATTTAAATATCCCTCCTGCACTGCCACCTGTGGGTGACCAGTCTGCCTTCTCGAGTCTCTACCTCAGTCTTTACCAGTTAGGTTGTGCTGAAGCTGATCCCTCTGTGTGTTCAAGGTTTTAAGGCTCTCCTGTCACTATTGTTCAGTTGTTTGTTCTTGGTGATTTCTCCACAATTTAATTGTAATTCCAAATTGGTCCTGTGGCTTCCACTCACTCCTCTGCCATCTTGAAGTCCCAGCTAATATCTTAATTACATCTGCAAAGACCCTATTTCCAAATAAGATAATATTATCAGGTCACAGGGTTAGGACTCAACGTATCTTTCAGGGGGGTACAATTCAACCCACAACAGAGATAATTTGTATTTATCCTTTTGACGACTGCTGACAGCTAGTTTTACAAGATAGAGGCAATTATTTTCCTCTTCGTGCTCAATGAATGCATAAAATGTACTTTTAAACATGTTTTGCTTAAAGTCTTAATAAATAACCAAAGTTTATTTCTCCTCATTTATTTGACTTTGAAAAAGTATGCAAATCTTTTCCATAGAGCATTTGTGAAACATTAAGCAATAAGTTGAGTTTCAGTGAAAGTGTTTTTTCTAGCAGTTTATTTTCTATATTAGTGTATTCTGATACCTTTGTATTATTCCGTTTGTCTTCTGTTTACATACAGGAATGTGCTCACTTAAGCACTGACCCATTTAATTACTTTTGTTTTACTGACTGCCTACCATATTCCCAGCACCATGCTGGGTGAGTGGGCTATAGACATGATTAAGACACAGGTTTGGCTTTTAAAGAGATTTGAGTCTATAGATGAGAAGAAAATAAACAATTTTTAAAAGTGTGTAATTGTATAAGTATGGAAGAAAAATATGCGCAAAAACATTTGATGTAGCTTAAAGAAGGCACCCAAGTTTTGGACAAATGGTCTGTGTATCAGGGGATCAGCAAAAACTTGCTTGTTTCCTTCACATCATTGCCTGGAAGATAAACTCTCATAATGAGAAATCTGAAATATACTCTCGCTAAATTTTTTTCAACAATTTCTACCAACATATAAGAAATATTGTTTTAGTCTTTGATTATCTTATATTTTTATCTTTGTCCATATCTTAATTTTTTCATCCATGTATGTGTTACTTTATACTTTCAACTTATCTTACTATATATGCCCATAAAGTTAATTTTTAACTTTAGCTTCATGTGACTTGAATAAAGATAAAATATGTCTAAATAAGAATGGCTAAATGCTGTAAAATGTTTATAGTCACAATTATTCTAAATTCATTCATATTCAATGCTGTACTAAACAATACCCAGTATGACTACGGGGATAATTAACTTGATAAATGGATTTCAATGTTTTACTTTGAATAAATAATGAGCTTAGTAGTGCAAAGAAAACATGAAAACAGAGAAACAAAGTGTCTGTGAAAGAACAGACTAGCTAATCAATAGAAGAGAATAATTCACTGAGAAACAAGCTTTAGGATGTATGATAGTTTAATGTGTGATGAAAGAGGCACTTTTTAGTAGCAGGGAACAAATATATAATTGGTCAATAAATGATAATGGGATTATTAGAAAGTTACATGAGAAAAAGAAGTCCATTTAGATGCTTATCACATAATAGACAACAAAATAATTTGAGAGGGAATTGAATGTAAAAACTTGAATCGAAATTTCTCACATATGCAGGATTTTATTACCACAAAGATCTCTAATGCAATCCCTTTATATGCACACCCTTCACGCTCGCTCTATTATTTAGAACCCCTGGAAATCACTGATTTGTTTTCCATTTCTGTAATATTGTCATTTCAAGAATGTTATATAAAAGGAATTATACAGTATACCTTTTTGAAATTGGCTTTAATTTCACTTAGCATAATCTTTTAGAGATCCACCCAAGTGTGTATATCAATAGTTTGCTCCTTTTTATTGATGAGTAGTATTTTGTGGTATAGATGTACCACAGTTAGTTTAACCATTCATCTGTTGAAGGGCATTTTAGTTGTTTTAATACTTTGAAACATTGTTTTTCTACCTTCTTGTGGGTTACTTGGACATTTTTTGCAACCCCACTTTATCTTTAGTGTTTTTGAATGCACCTCTTTGTATAATATCTTAGTGTTTTTAAAAACAATATGGGGAATAGAAACACATTTCAGAAGGGAAATATAACACTGATAAAGAATAAAAGAAAAAACAGAGTTGTAAATGTCATAAATTTATTCAACATACTAATCTTATCTATTTCCAATTTCTGCCTTTTCACCCACTGTCTTCTCTCCTGATAAGTCTTTGTTCTTCATTTTTGGAGAAGTTCACTTGATGAGGTCCATAAGTTTACATCTTCAAGCATTTCCAAGTTCAGATTCTGAACAGTAAAAGGGAAAAAAGAAATATTTGGGAAATTCTGCAATGTACTGAATACTTTTTCACATTTTAATGATAAATATTTGAACTTAATGTGTTTTATTTTTAATGATAAAGCTGTTCTCAGTTTTTTAAAAAATATTTTAAAGTGGAGAACTGAAGGACTCCCAACTAGTGCTCTATTGTCAAAGATGAACCCTGTCAACCAGTCCAGAGGAAGGTCTAGTAGATCACATCTTTCATGCTATGCTGTATGAATAATTACAGTGAAATGTTTCCTGATCTTAACTAGTATAGGTGTGGAAACATTTCAGAAATGTCATGGGTGATAAATATATTACCTCTAGGTATAGAATATAAATAAACATTAGATGATTTGTTTTGTTATATGTGGCAAATTACTGGACTCATCTCCAAACAAGCTATTCCAGACACCAGTAATTACATTTGACTTGCATTTTTTCTACTGAGAAATCCTATAATGCATTTGAAATTGCTTTATTCATAAATAATAACCCAAGGAGTTTTATAATATGATAAGGATATATTCAAGAAGCTGCCTCATGCAGACAACAGATATTTATTTATTTTCTTTATGTTGGCATTAGATTTTTCTTTTTCTACTTTACCAGCACTGCAGGGAGCACTGTACTCTTCAATGGTGAATTCATCTGAAACACAGAAATGATGAAACAGAAAGAGTGAAGACATTTAGCAACAGGCACATGAGCAGTGAATTTTAAGTAAACTGTACAATGTCAGCTAAGATAGAAAGCGTAAAAACAGTCATGGAGCCAATAAAAGTGACCTCCTTCTCTTCTAAGGCATTTGGGATTGGAGTGGTAAGGTGAATAAGAGAAAATTGGGCTTGGATACAGAATGGAGGGGCAGTTTTCACAGCTGGAAAATTGTTTCTATTTATAGAACACTGTACAGCCCTTTATCACAGCTGTGTTTTTCTCATTGGAATTGTACATACTTTCCTCTCTGAACTTTCCCTTAATCGAAGAAGGAGTAAAGTTCTAACACTACTAGCAAGCTGCAACATTGGTAAGTTTCTAGTTCAAAGTTATGAGTAAATGAAAGAATTTCCTGATATGTTTTGAAGTTTACCAGATTTTGTGAGACTATCCAAGGCACAAGTCAAAAACAGATCTAATTTTAGGTTTTATATCACATAATCACTACTGAGAGGTGGTCTTTTAGTTATTGCTATTCTTCTTGTCTTCCTGGAATAATTCAGTCTAGAGCAAACAATTTTATAAGGGAATTTAAAAGAGTTCACCCCCTTATTGCTCCAAGATCAATTTATAAGTATGGCTCTAAGATTTGTTTAGGGGGCACATGAAAGGTTAATATACAAGAACATGATTATCCAACAACCACAAACTCACTTGTTCTTCCTGTGACAAATCGTGGAGTTTTGTTTTCATTAAGATAACCCTTTACTAGTTTAGTCTGTTTTTCAATCAAAGTGCAGCATGTCTGAATCCTACTCACCTGTCTCATAATAATCATAGGCTTTTACTGTAGCTGGTTTTAAATTCTCTACTTTGATATCTTGTTCCACTGAGAAGGAAAAATTCAGGGCTTGTTTGGTTAGCTGGAGAGACAGAAAAACTGAATTACAGTTGGAGATTAACTTAGTTACCAGTTATCATCCTCTCTTCTTAAGATATTATCAAACCCTGTAGTATTGCTATCTATTTGTAACAAAACCTATGGAAAGAATGGGACATTTTGGGACGTGTATAACACATTCAGAGACAAATAAAAGAAGGGCTAAGGAGGCAATTCTATGGACAGTCAAATGTATTAAATTGAGCCTTGTTGACCAATCCTGTCTTCATTTCCCTATGTGGTTATATTCTTCTCCCTCACCTGTGTATTTGAAAAACACTATTTGGAATCTGTACTAGTTTGTTGGAACTTGTAGTTGTTCTCCCAGATTTAGCAAAGTTACAGAGAAATCTTACCTCTTCAAAGTAAATCAGGACATGGTTGGTGCTCACTTCAGTCCTTTGAATCTGTGGCCTTTCTTGGAGCTGTTGACCAGGAGATAAGACAGAGATACAAGATGAAGAAATTTTAGGATGAGAGCAATTTTCAGGTATTTAAAATATAAGTGGTTGCTCAGAAATATCCAAACTGCTCATTTTGATTTCTTCAGAGTATATTATAATATTTCACATATATGACATAGACAGGGTGGGGCAAAAGTAGGTTTACAGTTGTCGGTACATGAAACAGACTTTATTCTTATATTATTATTTATTATTCTTATATTATTTTGTTTGCATGGAAATCAGAAAACTTATTCTTTTATTATTTATTATTATTGTATTATTTTGTTTGCATCACAGTTGTTTGCATGGAAAATAATACAATAATAATAAATAATAATACAAGAATAAACTGTTTCATGTACTCACAACTATAAATCTACTTTTGCTCCATTGTGTATGTATATAGATATATAATACATGGTAAATAATTAGCTACCTCTCCAATTACCTCTAGATGGCTCAGGGCTTTTGGCAACACTATTAACTATATTTATAAAATATGTCTTATACTTGAGACCATATAACAATGATACCCACTATTAAAATGATGGAAACATCCTCTAGAGGAGCAAGTTAAAGGGAGTAAACACCTTGAAAACTGAATCAATAAAAGAAAATTTACAAGCATAAATGCTAACATTGATCATAACTCTTCTATCTGTAAAGGACTTAGGGTTTACCTTTTTCACTGATGGTTTCACAGGTATGAAGCCAGATACCATCTTTACATCAACAATAACCATGTTGGAACTGGGTCGTTCTCCAGTATAACTATGAAGTCAAGGCATAGGGACAAGGCGTTACAACAAAATTCTTTGGAATTCATTCAAGATAGAAGTCTTTCCTTCTTTATTTCTAGTGTTCCCTATCCCTGTCAACCACTCAGCTTCTCCATGTACTCTATTTGTCTCTGCTATGGTTGCTTGGAAAACCCTTCTTTATGAAATTTCACTCTGTACAATGGCAACATTTCATTCTCAATGTTGTCTTTTCAGTAAGAATGAAGAATATTTTATCATTAACACATATTGTAAGAATTCCATCTACACTATGTGTGACTTTGGATAATGGCATTCCTCCACACAAGAAAATCAATTTGTCATATTCTACAAAAGTTCTGGTAGTAACTTAGGATTTACCTAACGTTGATGTGAATCTGGAATTTCCTGTCAGCATGTAGTCCATCGCAGTTCTTGGGGAGAACATCAACATTCAGAGCGAAGGGAGCTTTCTCGTCTTTCTTGGGTAGGACATTGTATCTCAGGGATGTCTAAAACAATTTGAAAAAACTTATTCATTTTTGCACTCAAATACTCTATCTCTTTTAGGTGATTCATACCACCCCTTAGCACCCATTTCCTTTTCTATTTTGAAATTCAAATCTAATCCTTGAGGCTTTTTTCCCCATTTGTAACATCCCCTAAGCCCCAGCAGTCTCACCTGGAGGTACACACATCCTGACCCGGCCACAGTTGTGCTGTACTCCCCTGGAATCTCTGGTAATGCAACCTCCTGCAGCAATAGGCGATGGGCATCGTCTACTTGAAGTTCTTCTGAGAAGGTCTTTGAAGACTTGATGGTGACTGTAGCTGCTTTCTCCATTTTCGTGAAAGTTGCTGCTCCATATTTGGAGAGGGCTTGAAGAGCTACCACTGTATCCTGAAAAAGATGAGTGTAGAAATCACTGGAGAGGAAGGCAACAACATTATACTAGATGTAAATCATACAAATATTACTCTCTCTCAGAGTTATTTATTTAGTTGTAAACAGTTCATTAACTGAGTTTCAATTTTGCTCAGTCATGGTGTTAATCATGACTTATTCTAGGTAATCTGGGAAATGTCCTCAATCAATAACTTACAATATACATATAGAAATAAGGTTCAAATATTTTACACAAAGCAGAAGTTATTTCAAAAATTTATTTATTTATATAACGATATTTGTTGTAAAAATTCAGAAAAGGCTGAAGAAATTGGGGATAAAATAATAACAAGACTATGAAGAAGGTAATAAATATGCTTATCTAAGAATAATGAGAAAAGTTTATATACACAGAAGAGAAGCATCAGGTGTGGGGAATATTGTAAGTGAAGACACAGAAAAGGGAGTTGAGTCACTTCCAGAAAAAGTGAAGGTACCAGCCTGAGGAGAGAGAAATACTCATGTTTACTGAGGAGAAGAAATATTTTGGGTAAAGTGTTATGTAATTTTAGTCTTCGGGTTAAAAATATTTACATTATCAGGTCTATTTTACAGCAGAGGGTCAGACTAAAGAGAAAAGACAGGGGACTGTACAGAGGACCGAGCAGTAATCCATATTTAAAATAATGAGGCTGGAACCTTTATGGTGATGGAGGAATGAAGAAAGTATGAATCAGAAACACTATACAATTTTTCAACTCTTAGAATATGGTTGTACCTACATATGTATTTATTTTTCTTCCTAGGGTATTTCCACAGACCTGAGTAGAGGAGAAGCCTCCATTGGGGTTTTGTTGCTTGGTTATCCATTTCACAATACGAGAGGCTACAGACAGGTCCTCTGAAGACGGGGCAGGCTGGGAGGTAAGATAGGCAAGGAGCAAGTAAGATGTCATCTCAACTTCAGCAGAAGGAGCCCGGGGTTGATAATAGAATGTCTTAGCTTCTTGAAGTTTCCCAGGACGTTGCAAGTGGATTGAGTCCTCTTTGAAATGGAAAAAGACACAATCTTGAGTTTAGAGAATGGCTTTAAAATCTAATTTGTGACATCATTATAATTAAAGCTTACTTAGTGAATTGATGGAAATGAAGGAAAAATATTAAGTCATCACCAATCGATCAAATCTTTGCCAAGAAAGTAAATTAAGTTTCCAGCAACTCCCATTGTGTCTTTCTGTTTATTACATACTTGTATGATATTAGAAGTTGGGCGGTAGAGAGTCAATAAAGTGTAAATTGGTAAAATGATTCATGTTACCTAGAGAATTTATTTTCAATGATAATAATTCTTGTTATCATAATGTAATATATAATATAATTAATAACATAAATAATATAATATACTATAATATGGAATAATAGTTGTGAGTTCAATAGATTTTTTTCCCTTCTGATTTTCATCTTCTGATTTTCACCTTCTGATTACTGGTGATTTTTGGAAGTAAATTTTGCAGGAGTGGTTCTTACCTTCTTTTACAGCCTCTTTGTCCAGTGATTGAAGCAGCTCATTTCGCTTGGCCTGGTTTCCTGCCAGGGCAAAGGCATAGGCCAATAATGCCTTGGTATAGACAAGACTTCCTTGGGCTTCTGAAGTGGATGCCCATGCACTTTCCAGGCAGAATAGAGCATTGCGGACAATTGGGTGCTATGAAGAAGATGAAAGGAGATCTTAGGATAGCAGAACTAAGCTAATGAACTGTTCCCAGGCTAACCTCTTAAAAGCCTGAATGTGTCTGCACAACCTCACAATTCAGACCAGAGAATAATTTTCTCTGCAGCTTCCAAAAGGATGTAGTCCTTTATGTTCTGGTAAAATATACCAAAATTAAATAACACAAAACCACAACTCATTTTCCTCAGAGATTCAGAGGTTTATGATTTTCCCCCCTTAACATTTGTGAAAGGCAGGCAATGGGTGTGTACTAGTACATACAGTGACAGGCAGTGGCATCTCCAGCAGAGCAATGGTGATGTAGGCAGAGAGTGTCACCTCATCATCTACTCCACCCTGTAAGGATCAGAGGCAATGACACTAAAGCACGCCAATATTCATTAGCCAGAGTCAGCTAACTCTCTGTTTCTTCTTGGGTATCTTCACTAGAAAGCATCCTTTTTTGAGTAATATTATTGATTTTCCACCCTCTTCTTCCACCCTAATATTCTTATATCTGTCTTGAATCTCCTTAACTTTTAGTAATATATTGGTTTTTTTGCTTACTATTTTTATTCAATAAAAGACTGCTAATTAATTGCTATATTTCAGAAGTTTTAGAGCCTACCATCCTCCCTCAAAGCTATGTCATGAAGACTTGAAGAATGTATAGGAGCATCATTGCACTGGCATATCAGCATCATTAGGACTGGAGCAATGTTAAAGGCATCACCTTCATAGCATTGTTTAGCAGTGATCCAGAGTGTTGGAAACAGCCATTTTCCCTTTGCTTCTGTGAGAGCCAGGTAAGGGAATTCGTGATGTGTGAGTCTTCCACAAAGATGTATGACCGAGCTTGAGAAAAGGACTTAAGCACAAACGCAGTGAGCCTGTCCAGCAAAGAAAAGATGAGTCATCAGGACAAGCTAACTTTGTGCACTGCCTCCAGACACTGATTTTCATAATTCAGTGAAGGAAATTATTGGGGGAGAGGAACTGGTGGTGAAATAATACTAGGACACTGAATACACTCTTCGTCAAAAAAACATCTGAGTCTCTTTTTGTAAATCTTTCAATTTTATTCGTTTCTCCAGAGTCAATGTTTTTCACTTTCTTTTATCTCATGTAGTGTTGGAACTTCCAAGCCTTCTCACCATCAAACTTCCAATCTGAGTGATTTTACTACATTACATCTTCTGTCTTCTCCAGGCTCCTCTTTCTTGCTATATAATATAGAAGCTTCTTCCTTGATTTTTTTCTCATTGTGACACTTTCTGCCTTATATTTCCATTTTGGGGGATCCTTATTTCTGTTATCTATTGTGCTATCAGATCAGGTGAGCTCTTATAGATGAATGGTGAGGTCACCCAGTGTGATGACACACATATAGGTTTTTAAAGGATAACAGATTTCTATAAAAGGACTCCAAGTATCAGAGACTAGCTATTTCCATATTTCTGAAATATTATGGGTCTACAAAGAGCATACAGAAATAATTATCTTACCAAGTGTTTCCCTGGCTTGTACCACCACGATCCCCAAAAGTGCTGTATGAACCATCGTTGTGCTTATAATTCAACTGTCTTTGATACCCTGAAGAAGAAGTATTCATAAATTTATGAAATAGCAGAGACATTGGAGAATTATTATTTTTTCCTCAAAACTTGTTGAAGAGTCATAGGGACACTGCTCTTTTACCAAGAGATCTCCAAGACTTGATGATGCCTTTGAATTTTCTGATTGTATGTGGGACATTTAATTGGATATCACACCAATAATAATGATTAAATCTTAACCAAAGAGATACTGATTTGAGTTCACTGAAGAATATATTTAGGGACTCAATTAACATTTCTCATGTTGGGGTAATCTCTTACCACTAATGAGGTGGCTAACGGCTTTGGACTTGATCTTTTCTGTCAGCTGTCGTGTCTCATTCAGATAGTTCAAAACATAGATGTTAGGGACAAAAAGGACCATGTTCTGTTCTCCACAACCATAGGGCATCTGGAGAAGATTCTGAAGATTATGCATTGCAGAGCCTAGTATATCACCTGAGGAATGAAAGATACAGAAGAATCAGAATAACTTGGAGTTTGTTTATGTTGGGATAGGAAGATAGACACTATCTAAGTGAGAGGTCAACTCACTTATGGAGGGGAAGATGCAAAAAGCATAGGAAGTGAAGAACCACAAGAAATAGAAAGAAAAGAGAAAAGTAGGAAAAGTAAAGTAGATGGTTCAAGGGTAGAATAAAACAAAGAAACAACTGAATGACAAGATAGATACATCTTTCCTGATGAGGGACATGTCTGGTATAAACCAACTATACTCAAATATATTAGGAAGTACCACCAAATACTCAACCCTTTGAATATAAGGTCACAGAGAGGTGACCCTTCTTACTTTATAGATTATATCAAGATATATATCACAACATCTATTCAACCCCCTTTCTGATGAATACACAGTGCAATACTTAGCTTAGTGCTCTTTCTCTTTCCAGTGACTAGAGTCAGTGATCTCATTAACCATGGATGGTGAGGCCCCATGCACTAAAATTGTGGTGATAGCTGCTTCCTTTGGGCTGGGAGACTCACCCAAAACTGAGTATGTTGCCCTGGCAGATCCTTCAACCACATTTGAAGGAACTTTTAGTGACAGCTTTTCATGTACTCCAGTTTCTAATGAAAGAAGACATAAATAAAGGAGGAAAAAATGAGAGATATGTTCCATTTTTGTTTGAATATTTTTCCTCTACAGGATTGAGGTCCAACCTCTCATTTCTCTTGTTTCTTATATAATTTCTTTGATACAACTCAAGGTTCTCCTAAAGCCATGATTCATCTCATAGTGTAGCTCATATTAAACATATATATTTGTGCTAAATTTCTATAGATTTCTGATGTATATACCATATGGTATACTTATTTTCTTCTCTTCATTGTTTATGTTAATTTCTGATATTGGTAGTTTTTAGAAAAATTACATTTATTCCATAAATATGTATGAAATATTTGCCAAATATAAGTTCTGTGTTAAGTGTAATGATATAGCAATTTTCAAAACAAATCTCCTGACTTCCTGGAATTTTTATTTTAATGGAAGTAATAAGGTAACAAATCAATACTTAATATGATAGATGTTAATATTTATAGAGAAAATTAGAGTGTTTTTATGGTTAAGCTAATAAGAAAAGTCAAATAAGGGAATATAGGGCATAAGGAAGTGACTCCATAATAAAAAGCTCGTTGATTAAAAAAAATCATAGGTGACTAGAGACTTTAACTAAGTCATGGAGTAAGTTTATAGATATCTTGGGAAGAGACTTACAGGAAAAAGAAATAAAAAGTGAAAAGACTCCAGAGAATAGAGCATGCTAGATGTGTTCCAAGAGCAGATTAGACCTAAAGTTCTTATAATTATTGTTTAAATGAAAACACATGAGTACATTTAAACAACTGATTGAATAATAGTGTTAATATCACACAGGTATTTCAGTATTTCAAAAATTATTTAGAGAGAAGTATCAGAGATAGTAACTTTGTATTGAAAGAAATCCTGTCCCCCAGTCACCAGCTTTTTTCCTTAATATTAGTCAAGCTCTTTTAGGCCTTTCAACTTCTCCCTGCCTTCATCTGGAAAAAGTGGTTCTTCATCAAATGTCCTTAGATTTGTACATGGGAAAGTATAAAGTCCTCCCCCCACACAAAGGACAACATTCCCCCAAGGGCATTCTATAATCATATACTTTGGCAAGGAGCAGAACTTGAGAATCTTGTCAATTTTTGACACTTACCTGTTGCACAGAGGAGTGAGTTGAAAGTTTCCTCCTTTTCTATTCCCTCAGGCTTTATATGACAAGAAAAAAAATAAAAATAATTAAGTGACACTTAATGTATCAGAGAAAAATCAGCTACTCTTAAGGAGAGGAGAAAATGCTAGTATAAAATTGAGTTGTGGATACATCTGTATGTTTGGGAATTAAATGTCACTGTCACACACATATTAGAATATATGCTGTTATATAATAAGGTGTCTGAGAAAGTATACCTGCATACCTCTACTAATAAGGGCTTGACTACAGTGTCCTTGCGTCCAAGTGCTGGGACTTGAGGCATCTCATTACCGCACGATTGCGGAGACTGCAGGGCTTCTGCAGTCGCTGTGAAATTCACCTTTCCTGTGGAGTTAAACAGCGATTCCATGTTGAATGTTTGTTTGTTTTTTTTCTTTTTGAATTTCCTCAATATACATAATGGTTTTCTTTCAATCGATCATTGTTAAAGAAAAAAAGACATATACTTGGGTCAGAGAGGAAAGCAAACCATTACTACTCACCCAGTGACTTGAGGGTTACAGCCCAGGATACAGTTTTCCTCCCATCTCCACAAATACAGTGAGATTCTTCATTCTTCTCTACTGGAACAGCCAAGAAGGCAGGAGAGTCCTCCAGCTCTATGCTGACCTGTCCCCCATTCCCCCACACAAGTTTGAACACAAGCAGAAGGTCAGTAATAGGGGACTGAGGCTTAAAGGGACAATGCATACTAATGGAGAGACTTTGAGAAATTGTCCAAACAGCATAAATCCTGTCAAATACTTTGTTGTTTAGATATTTGCAATAAGGGAACTGAAAAACAGACAGGAATTAGAATTAATGTCCAGGATTTAAGCTTGTACCAACAAAAGGAAAAAACTGAACACTGAAGTAATCAGGTGGAAATAATATCTGAAATTAGGAATACACAGATAATATAGAGCCCCGCATGAATATAACCTCAACAGTTTGGACCCATCGGGTAGTTTTGCTCTTAGTTCCTATTCCATTCCAAAATTAATTTCCATTATATTCAATTATGATTTACAAGGAGATTACCTAAGAGACCTAGGTAATGAATGGTGATTGTGTTCCTTCCTTCTACTTTTGCTCATCTCTAGAGAAGTGTTCTTACCCAGATGCAGTAGGACAAGTAGTTGAACACAGTGGCTTTGAGTATAAAGGCTTCTCCTCGCACCACAGAGTAGGGGAGAGTGAGTTCTAGGAAGAAGGGCTGGAAGACTTGAAGAGAGACGACAGGGGAGAGGCCAAGCCCAGTTTTTCCAGACAAGCAGAGCGCACTGGCCTTCCACTTGGTGATGGTGTCAGGGACCTTTATTTCCAGCTCACTGTTACCTGATGAACTAATGAAAATAAAAAGAAGAGGAGAGTGAATGAAACCCCACCCTGCCCTTTTCTGGCATGTACCATAGCTGATCCTAAACCATGATAACTTAGAAACCTAGTGTGGTAAATATTAAATTTGACATAAAGTTTGTCACTCTTATTGAAGTCCCTGAAAGTTTTTCAATTTCTTTTTAGGGGTGAGACGAGCTTCCTGCTTTCTATTATTTTAGCTACCTCAAGACCAAATTAGAAAAAATGTTGCATTGTTTCACTATGAGATCAATGAACTATGAACCTAAATATTAATGAGAAAAGAATGGAGTAAAACTGAAAGGATCAGGAACAAAGGATAACACTAGAATCACAGAGGAGAATGCAGGTCTTCTCTTATACTGAATTCCAGGCAATGCACAACTTACTCAAGTGACACCAAGTCCCAGATCCAGGTCTCTGGGAAGTACTTCCGGACTGTCTCTTTTACGCCCACAGCTAGAGGGGCCGCGCTCATCATCAGTGGATAACTTTCATGATAATATGCTACAGGAGCGCTCATTGGAGCCCCTATGGAAAAACAACATTCAGGACCCAATGTAAACCTCATTTTATCATTAGTTTTTTAAATAGGTGCCTTATTTATCAAATAGAATGTCAGTGGCTCAGTGAAAATTTATTATTGGAACAGTTTAACCTACCAACTTGTTACTTATACGGGAAGGCTAATCCTAATATTTCCTCATTCTAGAGGTAAGTGTATTTTTCTCTAGATATGAAAACAAATGTAGATTTCCTTAAGCTGATTATTCAACTGGTGGAGGGTAGAATAAAGAGTAATTTAATACACCAAATATTGCTTTTACAGTGAAATGATGATCACATGATCTCCGTTTGTGGCAAGACTCAAGCTAGAAGGACTGATAGTAGCTACTGCAAGAAGATTTTAGGGATGATTTTTAAAAAATAACAGTGAGTGAGATATGGAGACATAAAAAATTAAGATATAATACAGTATGTGCTATAGACAACAGAGACTCAGTGAAGGACAGAATATTAATTTTAGATTGGCCAGAAAAGACTTTTTCAAAGTAGACATTAAAATGATCATTGAAGAATGAGAAACAGGAGGATGGAAAAGGTATTTCAAGGCAATGGCTATCTAGATTGAAAGGGTTGGCCCAAAAACCTTATCCCTATGGAGTAGAAATGTCTGTTTTGGGGGTGTGTTTAATATAGTTGTGTAAATAATGGGTGTTTTTAACATATTTGAGTAAATAGTAGGTGTAATTAGGTGTAAGTAGGTGTAATGTTCATTACCATGAAAATTAGGACAAATTAGATCTGTGAAGATAGAAGTTAACTTGATTAAAAAGTGTTATTCCATAGATCAGAAGATATATAAAGATAATATGTATAATGTATAAATATAAAATATGTGCTATATAAAATAGAGTTGGACATGGTCTTTTAAAGCCCTAAGTGTAACAATCCTACCAATTCTGGAAGTAGGAACTATGTATGAGAAATAGGTGACATGATAAAAGCAATGTTTAAGGATGATATGCCTTTCACAATAGACGGAACAGACTGAGGTGGAGAAAGACCAGAAGCAAAGAAAGTAAATTAGTGTGGTTTACAGTAATAATTTGGTTATGAAATAATAAGGTACAAGACTAAGGTGGTATAATTGAAAATTAAAGAATGAATAAGTAATAAATACCAAATGTAAAATTTGTATAAGAGTATTGCAGAATATTTGGGATAAGAATGTAACTAATGGTACTCTGATTTTAGGTTTGGTGGATCATTCCATTCTCTTTGGATTGACACAAATGTATATAGTTGGTTTTAAAAGGGCTATGAAAAAATGAGAATAAAGAAACAGTTCTTTTAACTTTTTTAAAACAAAGAATATGCTATCACGTGGAATCATAATTATATTTATTTTATGCTCACATACATCATACTAGATAGAGATATGATACAAACATGTCCCTTTGCTCTTAGCACAGTGTTGCTTTTCATTACACAAAAGTTCCTTTCTATTGAGAAAATGCTCTTATTCCTTATATTTTCAACTAGAACTTTATTCATGGTCTTCCCAGGTTAATAATTTCTACTTTATTAAAATAGAGGTTTATTTTTTATTTAAAAAATCACTTTACACCATCACATTTCTTATAAAGTAGTATTACTAGACCTCTAAGCATGCAGAGAGAAACTTCTCTGGATCTGGTAGCAGGAGAAAAGAATTCTCAGGATTAGAATTTTTCTTTTCCTTAGTTCCAGGTGTACTTGAAACACACCAAGAAACTAATAGTATGTCTGCCAAAAGATGAATTATTGTTATTTAATATATCAAAATCATTTAAATTTTTTTCTATGAAAGTACATGGCAGGATATATAGGAACTATTAATATCCATATGGTCCTTCATATTTTTCAGCCTCACTTGCAGTTAGGGTGGATGTGATATATATCACTTCCACAGCTGGTCATAAAGGTCATGCACAAATCTACTCCTCTTCCCCATAGTAGTAACCTTAAAAGACACATTAGAGATGATGGAGTCACAAGATGAAATTAGAATGAATATCTTTGAGTCATGATTGGTAAGAAGCTGCTCTGGAGAGCTACTGGACTCACTCTCTTTTGTGTAAAGAAAATAAATGTTACATGCTCAGTCACTGAGATGTGGGGGTTTGTTTGTTACTGCAGTATAACCTAGCTTATCCTGACTAATTTAGGTATTGAATCCATAGTGGATAAGAAGAATTTGAAGTAGCAAGACTATTGAAGGCCAGGAGAAAAATCATTCAATTTTGAGGAAGGGGGGGACGGGGAGAGAGGGAGGGAGGGAGGGGGAGAGAAAGAGAGAGAGAGAGAGAGAGAGAGAGTAATTGCTTTAAAATACTATTTGTTAGAGGAAAAAATTTCATTTGAGGAAAATTTTCCAAGAAGTTGCCGCAATCACAACATTCAATACTTAGAAAAATAGGGTTGGGGGATAGGAACAGAAGATGACAGCAGAGTAACTGGCAGCTCTGTTCATCTGCTCACAGACAGGGACCAGATTTGAAGTCAGAACACAGAGAGTGAGTGAAAGCACCTGTGAGAGAGCTTGTACAGGGGTGATAACGTGAGGAGTGCGGAGGAGTGTGCAGGAACACGCCCACCTGTGGGGTGCAGGGGGCGTTGGCTGGGGCTGTCTAGGTGGACCCCCACTGCTGTCCAACCCGACACTGCTGGCGGCGCAACGTTGGGGCGGCTGCAGATTTGCTCAGGACCCGGGAGCTGCTGGGGTGGCGAGAAAGTGCTACAGCATGGGCGCCATACAGAAATTATTTTAAAGGGGGAGCTGAGGCAAGTCCAGAGGCTTGGCAGGGACCCAGGCTCGTAGGCCTGTGTGTGTGAGTAGGGCACAGTGGCTTTGCCAACCAAAAGCTCAGAAGCAGAGAATACCCTGAAGGAATGGGATGACCCGATCCAGAAAGGCTGGTGAGTAGAGGGCAGCTCAGAGGGGAGAGTTCAGGCGAACCCTCTGTGAGAGAGCAGCAGGCTCAGGTCTGGAAGGCAGCAGTCGAATGCCTGAGATTCGATGCAATCAGCCAGAGCCTTTCACAGACACGTGAATGCTACCCCCACCTGCAGGATTACAGGCTCCACGGAGTGATGAGGCCAGACGCAGGAGTTACCTGCTCTGTACATTTCCTCAGGGGAAAGAAGGAAAAGCACAAATAGGGCCCTTAGCCAGACACTACAAGATATACAGCTCCCCCAGCCCTGATTTACTAAACCCAACAGAGCAGAGAAAATAGAGACAGGCATGACAAGGCACTATCTTCTCTCCTCCATAACTGTTTACGATTCATTTCATCTCCTTCAATTTTGGGCATAATATGGCACCAGGTTTTATAATATAGTTTATTTCAAATCTCATATATTGTGCCTCCCTTCTCTTACTCCATACTACCTCCTTCCTTCCTCTTCATATTTTTAAGTTCTATTTTCTCTCTTGCTACAACTTGTTTCCATTCCGCACTATCACTATTCCTCCCCGCTCCAGCCTCTCAAAATCGTTTGTGATTGTTATTCATCGTCTCACATTCCTTCTCCTGTTCTTAAATACTCTTATTTTCCCTCCACCTTTATCAATCTTTGCTTGTAGGATGTGGATAAGGTGGTTGTTGTTACAGCTCTTCAAACTTATTTCTAGATAGTACTATCTTTGTATTTCGAATCTCAAATTTTACTGTTTCCCTCTCCATTTGTCTTCCTGCCCTTTCCTTTTTTAATTTTAAATATTAATTTTTTCCTTGTCTTAGCCAGGTTTTCATCCAGCACTCTTAGTGTATCTTCTCCCTCTATCCTCTCAAAATAAATTCTCTTTCCTCTAGACATCTCTTGTTTCCTTTTGCCCTCTTATTCCCATCTCACCTATATAAATATTAGCTCATTGCTTGTTGATAGTTCTGTGGTGGAGCTTTTTCTGCAATTAGGGGGTTGTGTGTGTATTCATATATATATTAGATCCATATATATAATTAGGACTATATATATATAAATATATGTATATATATAAAATCTTTTTGTTGTGGCTGTCTGTTTTTTCTCTCACTAGATATGTAAAAAATATATATATTTTCTTTAAACTTTGGTTTTAACCTAATACTATATGCTTCCACTCTCTTACTCCATTCCACCTTCCTACCTCCTTTTTTTAGTTATGAAGTAAATTTCCTTTCCTGCTTTGCCTTGTTTCTATTCCCTAATCTTATTATTGCCCCTCCCTCTACCCTCAAATATCTCTTTTTTTTTCAGTCATCTCATATTTGTTTTTCCTTTCTTATAATAGTCTTAATCTCTTTACACTTTTATTAATACTGGCTAATTTGTTGATGAAAGTGTAACTGTGGATGGGGGTTACTTTTGCAGGTGTAAGTCTATTTCCTGGGCTGTTTGACTTTGGTTCTGGCAGCACCTGTACAACAGTATATAAGACGTGGAAGGCAGACTGTCTCTCAGTCAGTCAGCTGGAAGGAGGAACCCAACAAAAAATGACCCAACAACAACCAAAACCCAGTTACAACCAGAGAGCCCACATAAAAGGCATAAAGGGTAACACAAGAGCATCAAACACAGATGATCAAGGAGGTTGCACCACCGAATCCCACAGGTCTCTTACCATAGATCACACTACAAAGACAGAGAGTCAAAGCAGACCAGTATAACACAGAGAAACAAACAAGAAGAGTCACCTAAAATGGGGAGACAAAGAAACAACCCCCAAATTAAAGGAAAGGAGGAATCTCCAGAAAGTGTTAAATGGACATGAGTGGGTCAAAAATTGTGGTACATTCACACAAAGGAACACTATGCAGCACAAAGAAATAATTTATATCCTTCACGACAGCATGGATGGAACTAGAAAATATTATGCTAAGTGAAATATGCCAGGTGGTGAAAAGCAAATACCATATGATTTCACCTATAAGTGGAACCTGATCAACAAAACAAACAACAGAAAAACAGAACCAGAAACATGGAAATAAACAACAAAATGACAGTAACCAGAGGGGAGGGAGGAGGGGGTAACAGGGGAAAGAAGGGGAAGGGCCAAGTCAAGGAATGTGTATAAAGAACTCATGGAAATGGACAACAGGGTGGGTTTTGACTTTAGGAGGTTGGGGGGGCATGGGCAGGACAAAAGAAAGCAACGGGGGAAAAGTTGGGGCAACTGTAATTGAACAACAATAAAAAAAATTAATGTGGTTGTGGATCATGAGATAGAATATTTAAAGATAATTTATTTGCTATATAACTGATCATCTACTTTAAGGATTATTTTTGCATGATTTAAAGGATTTTACAGTTTTAAAGGAGAAATGAATAATAAAATTTTTCTAAGGATAAAAAAAGAAAAACCGCTATAGTTTTTTATGCCAACACAATCTAGCAAAACATTATTTTTCTTTTCTGTTATTCTGTTTTCTGTTATTTTATAACAGCAATATAATATAATAATATTTTCTATTATTCTAGCAGAGAAGTAAATCTCACCTAAACCAGCTGCACCAGGCACAAGAAGACGGCTAGATTGTACAGGCAGCTGACATAAATATGGCTTGTGGATTTTTGAGTTGGTAAAAATATTTAATCCTGCAGACTGAAAGAAAATTAATTGTTAGAGCATATTGGCAATACAATCTTAAAACTGGAATATTTTCTTACATTTGTATTATATTTTCACTATTATTATACATAAAGCTCATAGGATCATGAAAATTCTACACAATAGAGAATAGAGCTACTTTATAAATGAAAATGAAGACTCAGGAAGTCCAGAGTATCCAGTTAGTGCATGGAAATTGGGATTAGAACCCACTTCTTCTGATTCTTATTTCTGAATTTTTGTCTGCTCTATACTTATGCCTCTTTAATTATCTTTTGTAGACAGGAAACAGTATTTTAGCTGTGGATGTTTTCTTCCCTTCCTCCCCAAACAAATATAACACATATACTTACATAACATATATATATATATAAAATATATATACACATACACAAACATGCATATCTCATAGCTTTATTGCAGAGAGTAATTTTTAATTTTTTGAATTTGAATTTGTAGGATTGGAGATTTTTTTACAGTCTTAGTAAGCTTTGCTTTGTTTATGTTTTATTGGAAAATACACCTTTCCCTGAATAGTTCTCAACCCATCCCTTTTGTAATTTATCTTTTCCTCTTTTATTTCTCAGTTTTTATTAACTATCTTGAATCTCTGCATTCAAAACACATATGTTCGTAGAACCACCTGTTCCCAACATCCTCTTTCTTCAACAGTAGCCACAGTTAAATATTACTGGCTGTCCTGTCTCAGAATATATGGGAAACTGTGGGACTCTGAGGCACAGTGGTCAGTAGTGGTAGCAATGTGAACAAGGAGAAAGAAGTAAGGAATAAATGTTAAAGATGAAACAATGAGCTAATTAACCTAGAGTCCTCCTTCTATTCTTCCACCACCTTATGACTCTGAAGATTCCAGAAGGAGGAGACTTAAATTGTTCTCAGCTAGGCTGCAGCTCTTTTGGAAGAATGAAATGTTTTCCTCAAAGTATAATGATACTTTTTATTCCTTTTTGGTAGTGATCAGGTTTAGTCTCACAACCTGGATAAACTCCCCGTTCATAACTCTACCTAGTTTTAGGTAATCCCAAACATATGCATTTTATTTAATGTACCTAGAGCATGTTAACATCTCTACCTCAAGTACTGTAGATCTTTTCTTCATGAAAGGTTACTTTTAGTTTCCTCAAACTTTACTGCACCCAAGTAAGAGGGCTCAAGTATTGTACTTTGTGTCACTCATGTCTTTATTGTGCAAATGACTACTATAATGGCTTCCGTTGAATACTCACCTTTCCAGAGGTGTCAGAGGCATTCTAGAAAGTGCCTCCCTCACGTAATAGAATCTCTGCAAATGACTGAGAGGGGCATGTGACTGTGGTAACTAGCTTTGGGGTCCACTTAATTAAAGCTGTGAGCCCTAAAAGAATACCACATGCTATTTAAAGTACCCCAAAATTCATGATTAAATATCTGTATGCATACAAAGTTGGCTATGTATTTGAGGTTTTAATGTTTTTCAGTTAATCATTGTTTTGTTTGGGAACAGGGGCAGGGGCAAGGGCAGGATTCTAGAGCTTAGAAGTCTAGTTGTTCTCCAGTTTACAAGTACTCAGAAAGCAATTTTGATTATGTTTTTATGATAAATAATTACCTGAAAGATACTGTAAACATCGTTGACATTCAGGTCCTGCTTTGGAGTGTAAATGATTCCATTGTGAGTTATGTCTTCTGCAATTATGCATCCCTCAGTGTCTTCATTCATGTTATATCTGTATTGAGCATTAAAGGTGTTCTTTGGTAACAGATTATAAACCTGCAGAATTGAGGAAAGAGAGGAAAACTCTTGTGTTTTTTTCTTCTTTTAAGTGTGATAATATTCAGTCTGAGATTTAAAAGATCATAGTGTTTTACACTCCCATGTCAACATTATAAAAAACAACACAGGGAATCATGGAGAGATATTAAAGGTTATAGACCCTAAGCCTCTTGTGAAAGACAAATACTATATGATCTCACTGACATGTGGAATCTAATGGATAAAATAAACAAACAAGCAAAATAGAATCAGAGGCATAGATACATGGAACAGACTGACAGCTGTCAGAGAGGAGGGCAGAGGGGAGATCTGGATGAAAGAAGGTGAAATGATTAACCAAAGAACATATATGCATGACCATGGACATTGCCAACAGTGTGGGGATTGACTAGGGGAGTTGTGGAGAACAGTCTGGTGGAGGGTAGCAAAGGGAGAAAAATTGGGACCACTGTAATAACATAAACAATAAAATATATTTCAAAAAGAAATATATGAATATTAAAAAAGAAAAAAGAAATTAATATAAAAAAGAAATCAAGTTAATTGATCAAAGTCTCAGGGCCCATTTTCGTTGTAGTACAATATAACCCAAGTCATCTGTCCCCCAGTCCAGATGCTTGCTTTTAAAAAATGCAGAAAATGTGTCTAGTACAAAGAAGTGTAATAAGAGAACAAAAGCCACTTATAATTCTATCATCCAGGAATAAACTCTGTAAATACTTAATTTATTTCCTTTTCCCATTTTACATGAATAAGTTCTTACCAAGTTTAAAAAAATTTTTTTTTAAGCCTACCACTTTAGGACCACATTTAAATTGAGAAAAAAAACTGAGTGCAGTTTTTTTTTCTCTGAAATAATTCCAGTTCAGCTTTTGCCCAAAATAAGGCCACCTGCACAGTTATATAGTGTTCAGGCCATTAAACACATGCTGGACCCCAGGCAGACCTTCTAATCTGGTCGCTATTATTTCTTATCTGAGCTACAACAATAACTTCTTAACTGTTTTCATTCTTTCATTCTTGTTCTCATATTCTCAGCAGCAAACAGGATCTTCTTAATAGATAAATCTAAATTGTGACTCTCCTGCTTAAAACTTTTCGGTAATTTACTACTGCATTTTTTGTCAACACCAATCTCCACTCCAAGTTAACAGAGCTTGTTATAATCTTCCTTACTTTCCATTCCACCTATGGCCTCTACCATCACTTTCTGTTACAACCACGTAATAGATTATTATCTTATCCTTTTTTAGAACACTCTAGAGTTATTCTGACCACACACCTTCAGGTATACTGCTTTCATTCATTGTAATGCTTGCCCTAGTCCCTTCATTATCTGACAATCTAAGAAGACACCTTTAGTTACTATATCAAAAATTATTCAGCTCTTTTTTTCTTTTTTCATATATATTTTATTGGCTATGCTATTACAGTTGTCCCTTTTTTTCCCTTTTATTCCCCTCCAACCTGCAACCCCTTTCCCACCAGCATTCCCCCCCACCTTAGTTCATGTCCATTGGTCATACATGTAAGTTCTTTGGCTTCTCTATTTCCTATACAACTCTTAAACTCCCCCTGTCTATTGTGTACCTACTATTTATGCTTCTTATTCCCTGTACATTTTCCCCCATTCTCCACCCCCGTCCCCTCCCTTCTGATCTCCATTTCTGTGATTCTGTTCCTGTTCTAGTTTTTGCTTAGTTTGTTTTATTTTTTTTAGTTTCAATTGTTGATAGTTGTGAATTTGTTGTCATTTTACTGTTCATATTATTTGATCTTCTTTTAACTCCTTGGTTGGACTTCCATACAGTTTGATTTTCTTGCAGTTCTGGTTATTTTTTGTTTTTAAATTTGTTGTCTTTTTGGTTGTGCAAGGGGCAAAGCATATCTATCTATATGACTCCATCTTGGCTGGAAACCTCAACTTTTTTTCTTTATCTCAACATCCTGTTTATTCCTTTTATTATTCTTATCAAAAGAATATATGTTTGTGTGTTTGTTTAATATCTCATAAGACTATAAGTCTAAACTTGTCAAAGACAGTATCTGATTGTTCACCATTAGAACTATTTCTTGAGCATTATCCATCCTATAGTTGAGATGTCATGAATACTTATTAAATAAATAAATGGACCATGAAGCCTGTAAACTATAGGACCATTTTGAAAATGTTTTATTATAAGACACATCTTAAAAAGACAAGTTTGAGTGAAAACTCTCTTTTGTCCTAATTAAAACCAGTAAGTGGGTGCCTGGATTTTAAAGGAAGTTTAAAAAGCTGGTATTTCACATACTAACTTGAATTGTGGTGCAGTAAAAGTGCCATTGAGTGAAATTTGATTCAAATTCTACCTTTAAAATATATTTGTGGCATACTTTTTCTACAGTTTCTTAGTCTATCTTAGCTTTGTTTTTCATTTATAAAATTGAGGTAATAAAACCCATCTTAAAGAATTATTATTTACTCATTCATTCATTAAAATATGTTGAGCATCTTTCATATATAAGGTACTGCTCTAGGCACAAAGAATGTAGTGGTGAGCAAGGCAGTTCCTTCACTGGGAGTATGTTATAATAGAAGATGAAATGAGATGATACATGAGCACCTTGTGCAATGTCGTTTGTGGAACTGCATTGAATTTCAGCTTATCCATAACAGTACACTATGCTTGACATGCTGAAGAACTTGTCCCTTGCAATGATAATTTCCCAGTTCCAAAAATGGTCTTATCATATGTGGATTTTCTAATATTCAAGAATGAAATAAGACTCACTGATTGAGGTGAGAGCTCAGCTTCAGGCTTCATGAGCAGTATACTGTGGTCTATTGCACGAAGGGCACACAGAGAATGAGGAGTGGCAGCGATCTTCAGGTTGGTGTCTGAGCCTGGCAGGCTCTGGGCTGAGGAGAAGCCCAAATTTACCTGTCAAGAGAATGTGATTATAGCAGCAAATTTTCTATTATGATCTTAAAACTCTCTTCTGCCTCAGGCTAGGCCTAGTCCTTTCTATACTTCCTTTCTCTTCACCCATTTTAGAGCAGGATTAAGAGATGACTCCGCCTAGGGATGACCAGTTAACCATCTCTGGAATAAACCGAAAATATGGTTCTAGTTAACTCAAGTTTCCCACTCCTTATATAACTGGTGAAATATAAATTGGTTTTGATCACAATGAACTAGAATCCTGAACAGGAACAAGAATATACATACTAATAAAGATGCATACCTTATATCTGGCCTTTCTCTATGCGGTGTTTTTGTGATGAATGTGTGTATTTTGCATGATGCTGGGAAAAAAAATCACACTTTACCTCTCAGATCAGCCAACCCAAGTCTCCTCTGGTTGGCAGTCTTAGTCATCTGACATTCTAAAGAAGTATAATAATGTTCATTAGAATCAGAGGTTTATTGGGTCTTAAAAATTAAACATCTAATATTCATCCTAAGAGTTAATTGGTTGAGAAATTCAAAGAGTTGTGAATAAAGAATAAGAAAAACAAAATAAATGGGAAATTATGCACAATTTTTTCAGAGATTTGATTCTGCTTTGGTTGGTGGAGATTCATTGGTAAGTGAAGCTATTGGTCCCTTATGTTTGTGTTCAATATGATTTTTATAGTAAAAACATAAAATAAAATAATTTAAAATGTAGTTACTATAATGGTATCAGGTAATGTAGGTTCATGAACTCAAAGCTGATTTGGATTGGAATAAAAAGTCAGTGTGTTTAGTGAAATATTATTTGACTTGGATTGCTGAATTTGACTATGATAATCCTGTTATGCCATCTACTGAATTAATGTAATGGTTTGGACTTATGTGTTGTGAGACATATATGAAAAAAGTAAATAATTGATTTTTCCTCAAGATGCTGTAGTAGTCCTCTCTACTTAAGGGGAATTCTATTTTAAACATATGTGTTTTTATTTTTATAAAACTTAAGTTAATTAAAATATGTCCATATCAAGTCAGTTATTTGGAATTATAAGCAACTAAAAACACTTTTAGCTAAGAAGTGGATATCTTAGAAAATATAAAATGTTTTACTGATGTGAGAACCAAAAAATACTTTAAGACATATTTTGAGAGTCTGTACCTATTTATATTGAGTAATGTTTTCCTCAATGAATAATTATATCTGGTTAAAAATGACAGGCAATTTAAACTGTTACATACTATGTAATGTTTATACTAAATCTGTTCTTTTTAAAGTGAGAAAGTGGTATGTGAATTTTGAATAGAAAACAGTTTTTCTGTACCCCAGCAAAGAAGACTGAAAAAAAATGTTTCAAGTATATTGGTTTGATGGAACATACGTCTCAAACTGACCTGAATCTTTCTTCACATTCTCAGCCCACTCTTCACTGTTTGCTCTTCATCCTGTCAAAATGTCTAACTTCTAGGGGACTTAATTTTTAACTTTAATAGTACTCTTTTTATAATTTTTTGTGGTAAATAAAAAATAGTCTACTTCTTAGTACCGAATAAATCTTCATCTATAATTACTTATTTTTCATAACTGATCTCCATGTCTGATCAATGATAAGTTAAAAGATATTTGACATAAGTGTTTGAATACAATGCATGTGGAGTTTTGCTTCCATATGGAAGTTTGTGGTTTTACCCAAGAGTTTTCATGTGATTTTCACCATAGAGAGACCATTACTAGAATGAGTAAAGCGTGTTGGAAGTTGTAGCATAACACAGCCATTCTAAGGTTTAACAAATAACTAACTGTGATTAGCAATGAAGGTATTGAAGTTCAAAGCAGGAATTTCTTCTGGTTCATATAAAACACACAGAACATTTAAACAGAATAGAACTTATGCTCTTGGATGCCTGTTCTGGTTTAATAGCATTCTTTGTAAAGTGGAATTGAACATTTATATCAGAATCTCTTGTGTATTTTTTTAAGATCTTAGTATATTAAGATATGGATAACCTAAACATAGTTCTGATTACAGAAATGTTAACTTGCTATAAATGTATATTGTTTTAATCTCCATAAAACTCATGTTAAAGAGTCCTTCTAGGTAAATTTTTAAAAAGATACCTGAAGTTGGTGGATCCTATGTGATTGTTAATGTTAGGATTATGCTTATTTATATCCCAGTAGGCATCTCATTACAGCTATGTATTTTTTTTGGAAATATACAAAGATCCCACTTGCAGCTGTTATATTTTTATGCTGTAGTCATTATTCAAGTGCTCAGGTTATGTTTCTCAAAATCGGGTACATACATATCTCCCTGTTCTGTATTATCAAATTAAATTTAAACTCACAGTAAGTTACTGGTTTCTGTAGTAGTACATGGAGGCATGCCAAGCGGGCATGATGGGATAAATTGACACATCCTTGTGGAACATCAATTTTAATTGGAAAATTTTGGAACAAAACTTCTCAAAATTAAAACTATTAAAGGCTTATGATAAAATAGATTGAATTTCATGTAAGTTTTAAGGTTAAACAAGACATTTAAAAATTGTGCTAATGGCAATCTGATTTGGACTGCCCCAGTAGACCTCTCAAGGTATGGTGTCACTCTCTGCCTCTAGAGGACCTTTGGGGACAAGCTGTAGGAACATTATATGAGGGCCTTTAAATATACGTACATTCTTAGTTTTCATACTTCAAAAAGAGAGTTGGATAAAAGGACTGGGCTTCAACAAAACACCCACCTTATTGGCAAAACAGTTTTCAATCTCAAGGTTCTGTGTATCTGCAACAACTTCTCCATTAGGTAAAATAGTATAAACAAGCAACTGGGCAGTAGGAGCAATATCTGACTCCACTTGAAAGGAGAAGGAAAATACTCCCTTCACTGGAGAATAAAGGGAGTTCAAAAAATTGATTAGAAAGAGGGAGGAGTTCTCAATTTTATAAAGACAAGTTTCTCAAATAATTTAACTTATTTATATTTGGAGTATAATAAAGTAAGAAAAGACTTGCATTTATACCATTGTGCATGTAATAGTGTTCAATAAATATATGCTGAACTAATGACATTTTTCCTTAAAGATTTAGGTTAATTTGTTCATGTCTTCTACTTGGGCAGGAAAAAAACATTTAGCACATGTCTCAATTTTCTAAATAAAAAGGATTTATTAAGAAAGAAGTCAAGAGAAAACTTTTAGACTTCTTTTATTATCTCTATCTATGGTCCAAATTAGCACAATTCTTGTCAAATGCATGAGGACAATTCAAAGAATGCAACAGTCTCTACCCTCAAATCATTTGAAAAAGAACAGAGATACAGGTACAAATAATCACATATAAAACAAGCTGTGCCTCTTATTTTTATGAAAGAATTCTCTGTATTTATCTTTGTGATTGCTTTCTGTATGAATTGCATAGTACTTATATAATGTACCTGTTTAATTTTCCAATAATTGCTTTAAGTTTGATCTTTGTAGCATAACATTCTTTAAAAAATATAGCCTTCCAAAAGGTTTGAAGGCATCTTGCAGTGAAAATACCAAAAACAACAGGAACAATATAAATTTGAAACAATAATATTGAAGCTGTATGTAGGTGGATTTCTGGAACCAGGTGAAACATAGGCAGGAATTAATTTTATTAATGATTTTATTAATTTTATTAATAAAATGGTTATACAATAAAGTACTTAAATTTAGCATTTAGTTTTTTACAAGTAAAAGACAAAAAAACATTTATATGTTCAAATAAAATAAAGTACTTTTTCCTTATTCCATCCTTCTAGGTACTTACTACATATACAATTTAAACTCTATTACAAGACCTAATTTTGAAGAAATTGCTTTATGAGACACTTTGGGTTGTGATATGCTGTTAGTAACAATCTTAACAGCATATCAAAATGGGAAACCCACAAAATTTTTGAGAAATTTCTATCAGTAGAAACCCTGCCACCTTGGACCAAAAAGGACATAGAGAATGTAAAATGAAAGAAGGATATTAGACTTATCAAATTCTACAGGCAAGAAACAAGCTGATTAAACTATTAAGTTGCAAACATATGCTATGCTTTATGCTTTATGAAAAAGAAAGAATGATTCTGAGAGTGAAGGCTTAATAGCAGAGGGCAGAAACATGAACCCAAGAGGATTTTTACCAGATCTTGAAACCTACCGTTTGTGCAGCTGGATTTCAAACTATCTTGAGCCTGATGACACATTTTGTTCTAGAATTGATTATACTTAGGGCCCCACCAACACCTAATTTAGATGATGATGGTTGGGATTTTTGAGTTCATGAGATTTACATGAGATTTTGGACTTGAGTTAATGTTACAATGTATTGAAGCATTTAGGGGTGTTGGAATGAGGTGAATGCATTTTACATCTGAAATAGATGTAAAACTTTTGGACCAGAGGGTGGTTTGTAGTAGTTAGAATAATGTATCTCCCAATGTATTCATGTCATAATTTCAAAAACATGTGTATATGTTATTTTATATAGCAAAAGGGACTTGCAGATGTGGTTAAGTCAAGGACCTTGAGATGGGAACATTATATTGGGTTATCCAAGTGGGCCCACTGTAATGATAACAATATTTAAAAAGAAAGGCAGGGATGAGGAACTAGAAATATTTTCTTTCTTTTATATGCAATATTTTTATATAATTTTTTAATTTTCAGATTATAGTTGGCATACAATATCGTATTAGTTTCAGGCGTACAACCTAGTGATTAGACATTTTATAACTTACTAAGTGATCATCCCAATAAATATATTATATATAACTTTATGGCTCTGGTAATTTATTTTGATCTGATTTACCATTTTAATAAATATTTACCTTTAAACCTAGAAAAAAGAGAGAGAGAGAAAGTCAGGAATGTAAGAAAAAATAAATGGTGTGCCACTAGCATTGAAGATAGAAGGGGCCATGGATGAAGGAATGTGGTTCTTTAGAAACTGGAAAAGGCAAGGAAACAGATAATCACCTAACACTCTGGAATGGAAGTAGCCCTGATGACACCTTGATATTAACCCACTGAGACTTGTTACATACAGGAGTGTAAAATAATAAGTTTGCATGGTTTTAAATCAGAAAGTGTATGATAGCCTATTACAAAAGTAATAGAGAACTATTATAAAAACATACAGAGTAAAACTTTGGTGATTTTCTGCAATTTCAATTATCTTCTGCATTTTAAAAACCATTAAAAGGTGAGGATATTTTATTTTAGGATAAAATTTAAAATACTGACATGCTATAAAAAGAAGAAAAAGACTAAATAGACTAAACACGTTTTGTATGAGTTCTCTCATGTTTGGTTGATGGAAGAAAATTGCTGACTATTTTCTCTAATGTAAAGATAACTTATTCTTTATAAAATATTCAAGATTTGACAATAGGAGGGAAAAAGCAGGAAATCCTGAAAGTACTTACTATCCCCTTGTTCAACGGACAACACATGGATTCCTGATTGGGATATGCTTTCTCTTGCTTTAATCTAAGACAGAGAGAAATGCATTTATTATTATTTTGAAAGGCACATATTAAACTTAATCAAAATTATGACATAAATAGCCCTGGCTGGTGTGGCTCAGTGGATTGGAAACCAGCCTGCAAACCAAAGGGTTTCTGGTTTGATTCCCAGTCTGGGCACATGCCTGGGTTGCGGGCCAGGTCCGCATTGAGGGAGCACATGAGAGGCAGCCACATATTGATGTTTCTCTCCCTATCTTTCTCCCTCCCTTCCCCTCTGTCTAAAAATAAATAAACAAAATCTTTAAAAAATTATAACATAAATAAACAATAATTTCACTACTTCAACCCAGAAGTTATTTTTGATCACCAAATTTCTCTTCTAATACTTTCCTATAGATATAATTATGTACTTTAAGTGATGAACATATTCTTATACAAGGATTTTGTATTTCATTTAATATTTACTTTGTATTGTAAATATTATTTAAAATTTACATATTCTTTTGATAATATTTTAACATCTAAAATATGAAAAACAACCTATAATGAAGGCAGATATAAAATATATGTAAATATTCTCTACAATAGCTATTTTAGAAAAACAAAACTAAATGTATTGACACTCTCTGTGCTCCAAGCACTGAACTAAATAGTTCTAGGATTTTATTTAATTTACACAGTAATCTCGTGAAGTCTTATAAACGCCCACTCTAGTATTAGGGTGAGATGGGTGACATTTCTCTTTACAAATGAGATTAGGTAAATTGCCCAAGGTCACAGAAACATGAAGATACTAATTTATTGTCAATTTTTAACTTTTTAGTAAAATTTTAAAGAATGTTATAGTTAATGTTCCTAAACAGAATTTCCTACACATACATTTTTCTTTAACATGACTTACTTGGATAACTACTAGTTTTGAATATTCTTAATTTTGGGACATAAATAGATATGCTGGCCTCAAAAATGTCATACCAATTTATAATATGTCTGTTAAGGTATTTTTCCCTGGACTTACACCAGCCATAAACTTCGTAAATTAACAGAACCTTTATAAGTATACAATGCTACTGCTTTATTGTTTTAATTTTCACTTATCCAATTAATATCAAAATTAAATATTTTTCCAGATTATTGTTTAACATTTTTATTTCCTCTTGAATATGTTCTTTATTCTTATCTTTTGCTTACTTGTCTACTAAAACCAACTTCTCCTCAAGCATAAAAACAAAAAAAATACATGTTTATATTGATATCTTATAAAGGGCATTACTTAGATAGGAACTCAATATTTTGGGATCTACACAATTGGGAAGAGAAACAGTGGCTTTCATTCTCACCAAATAATAGAAGGTTAACTTTTTTTCATCTTTGAGAATCTGTTCATTCAGAATGTAGTGTGCCCGGATCTCTTGGGTTTTCCCACAGGCTATGGTACCAGTAACAAGTTCAAGGTGAACATAACTCTTGCTTGGAGAAAAAACATGATGTGCAGTGTGCTGTGCTTGTAAATGAGATTCTTCAAGCCACCGGTTAGTAAAACAATTGTAAGTTTCTTTGTAAGTGACCTAATGGAAAGAATAAAAGTCTTACATAGGCAATTTTAATATATATTATGTACTGTATTTGTTAGTCACTTTCTATAATTTGCTGAAGTTTTATTTATGTAAAACATGTTTGCTTGGTTCTATTATAGGCTGCTTTCCCAGATAAAGCCAATTCTATGAATGACTTTCCCTTGTTTATTTTAGGTTATACTGTACTGACTTAGTAGATATTATTCACTCACAATCAAGACCAATTACTTTTTCTTAATACCCTTATGGCTATAAATCACACAAGACCATTTGAATATTTAACACAAAAAAAATAGTATAGCGGAAAAACCAAGAAAAACCTAATTTTATTATAAAATTGTAAAAATATTGAATTTTTCAAAATACCATTAATGTGATATAATAAAAATCTCCTGAAACTAGATGATATAAACAGAGTCAATCTAACAAAGTCAATCTAACAAAGTCAATCTAAAAATTCTGACAAAGAAATTTTTTGTTTCTGTGAGAGCGGGGATAGGTAGGGGGAAAACAACTGGGGAAAAATTGGGACAACTGTAATTGAACAACAATAAAAAAAGAGTGTTTTGTTTCTTACAATTTAAGTCTCTACATTGCTTAATTTCTATTTTACTCTTTATCACCTTTTCTTTTATCCCTAGAGTAATGTGCTTCCCATATATCCTTAAATTGCGTGGCTCTAGTGGTCTCTTTCTTTTTGACTCATGCCCTTTCCACTTACTGTAACTATCATCGAAGAAGACGTAACATTGGTGGTATCAATGAAAATGTTCGCCAAACCATGCTCATTCGTAGTAAAGTGGGAACGGAATGCAGGCTGACCCCAAAAGACAGCCAGAGTTTTATTGGGGAGTGGCTGACCCTTCTCATCAACTAGAAGAACCTGGAAAAATAAAAGTGATAGCTGGTTTGAAGTGTAATGCAGCCATAGCCTCATCCATTCTTTGTTGTGTTCATCCTTGACGTCTTGGTCACTGTCATTTACTAAATATCTTAAAATCTAAAAATATGATTTGCTTTCTGGGCTGTAAATTATTTTTACTTTTGATATTTCAATTTAGATAACTCATGAGCATTCAATTGAAAATATCCCAAAGTGGGCTCATGATGATACCTTTCTAAATTTTCTTCATGTCTGGTGTTCTCTCTCCTAGTCCCTGGTGCTTCTATCCATCCCATAGTTTATGCAGAATATTAAGGGCTCTTTTTTGTTTTCTTCTCTTTCACTGCCTATATCTAACTCATTTCTAAGTGCTGCTTCTTCCCCTGTAAAACATATTTTATTGCTATTTCCTTCTCTCCAAATCCATTGCTACCATTCCAATTAAAACCACAACATTTTTCCCCTCCTGGTTTCCATTAGTTTTCTATTTAATATTATGCAGTCCACATATAAGTTCTTGCTGCTTCATCCTTGCTTCAAACCATTCTCTATACTGCCTCAGCTAAACTAATCATGTTATTCTTAAAACCTTCAGTAATTTCTCAATTCAGAATTCTGAGCATATACTAAAAGGCCCTTGACGGTCTGGTCGAGCTTACCTACAGCTATTCAGTCAATAAGTTGTACCTCTTATCTCAGCCAGTCACACTGGCTAGCTACCTCTTAGTTCTTTGCTCTTGAAAAGCTCTTCCTCTGTTAGAGCCTTGGACATTCTCCTATCTTTCTTAAATTTCTGGCCAAGTGACATTAATCTAACAAGTTCTCAGTTTCTTCATGCTTTTTTGCCAACCTGAAATGACCTTGTCCAATCATATCTATATATTGATTTTCTCAATTTAATATGAAATACTAAAATAAATGAAGATAATATAAAATTCATACTATGCCACTAAAATGAGAAAATTGGCTATATACTGTCAATTCAATAATTAGTTACCACAAAACAAAAATGCCCAGAAATCTTGCATTTCTTATATGAAAGGAAATTGATAGTTTACTAAATTGGATCTTAGTCCTAAAATTTACCAATATTATTAACAATATTTAGCCTTGAAACAGTAAAAACTTTTTGAAAAAAATTTAAAGCTATAATTAAAAATTTAATTATCTAGATGAACGACTTTTTATTTTTTTCTATAGAAAATTATATTACAAAGTCATTATTTAAAAAGAGGCAGTCAAAGAATATGCAGCCTAGCTACTCAGAAAAAGCAAATTATAGAGGTGTGTTAGAAAGTTAACCGATAAAACTATCCTTTATTTTTCTGGATTTTGTGATGACATTTGCCTTTAAAGTTTGTAATTTGCTATAATTTATTTTCTTACTGTAAATAAATATTAATTTTCATAATAAATTTTGATTTTATAATATAAAAACTCATTTTATTAAAAGCCGCATCCCCCAAATTATGATTATATTGAAAACATATTTTACCTGTCCAAAGAAAGGGAGCCCACGTCTATAATATGAATCTACTTTTACAAATACCAGATTGCTTAAGACATTTGTGATGGTACATAATCCATGCCCAGTTAATTCCAACCCTGAAAAAAAGTAAATGCAGTTGAACAGTTCTATATATTCAATTCACATCCTACTTTCATCCCAGCTTCACTCTATCACAACAAAATACCACACATATCCTTTTTTCTTATTCTTTCCAGGGTTTCTTACATTTAGAAAGTACATGCAATTTGCCATTAACTTTACTTTCATATAAAAAATTTATTGGCATCCATAATTCTCCAATTCCTGTGGTTTCACGAGTATTCTACTTATTCAAACCATGTGCTTAAGCTTTTCCCATCTCCTCTGTGATTTTTCTCCATCTTTGTTTCTGTCTCTCTCACATCCCTGCCCCTTCTCCACAACTTTTTCATGTAATGTAATTTTTCACATTGGCCTAAATATATGCTTCAATTTCTTACACAAACAAGTTCTCCAGCAAGACCCTTCATTTCGGAAAGGCCTGTCCAATGTATAACCAACACCTGATGTTTTTCCATTCAATGAAGTATAATCTGTATTTTGACTTCAACATCTAACGTACTACTCTATAAAATCTAAAAGATCTCATTGCTTCCAATATAGGAGTAGTCTCATTTCATACTTAACAAAATGAACCCTCAGAAGTAATAGTACAATTGAAACTCTTCTAGTGGCTTCTAAGAAATAGCATTTATAACTTTCCCTCTGCTCTTCTTATCTTTAATTTATTATGCTGACTTACTTGATACTATTTTTTAACTACACAGTGATAGCTGTTATTTGTGGTAGTATGTTCCAAGACCCCCAGTGGATGTCTGCAGCCACCAATAATACCCAAACTTATATATACTGTTTTTCCTTATGCATCTATACCTATGGCAAAGTTTAATCTATAAATTATGCATGCAATTTAAAACTTAAGACTTATTTATTTCTGGAATGTTTCATTTCATATTTTTGGACTGCAGCTGACCATGGGTAACAAACTGTGGAAAGCGAAGCCACAGATAAGAGGACTACTGTAGTTTGTCTTTGGGCTGCTTCTTGTCTACATCTAGCTTCAATTTAGCAATTCTAAGTGAGTTCACTTTCAGAGGGATTGCATTTACTCTTAGGAGGATATGGGCACTGTGGGAATTGTCCCAGATGTACATTTCTGGTCTTGATTTTGCTCTGGCTTTCTTCTTAAATTATGTGCTGAATAACTCAACTTCCATTTTGATATTCCAAATTATAATTAATTATCTTGGACACATTCTCATCACCATAATTCTTTCTCATTTACTTCTTATCTCAGTTAATGGCATTTCTGTTTTCCAGTACCCAGATTTGTAATCATTGGAGTCATCTTTGAATAATGTTCTGATGTATCACATTGTAACACATTTTTTTCTTTTTTTTTCAAAAAAGAAAGGAGAGTTTTAATGATCAGAATAAAAATGGTTAAACTTTATTTTTATATGATATAATAATTAAAAATAAAGATTTTTAGAGTAAGTTATATGTTCAGTAAGATGTTTAGATATGAGATGAACTAAAAAGGCAATTGATTTCCTTATATCAGCAATAAATATCTAAAAATATTAGAAATTAACATACCATTTACAGTGGAAAAAACTTCTTAATATGTAGAAATTGGCATTATCACAAAGCCTGTAAGGATACTATTTTAAAATTATGCTTAAAGTATTTAAGTGAAGATCTGCTTAAATATAGAGATAAATCCTATGCATGAAAATGACACACAGACATTTTAAAGATGTCAGTTCTTCCTAAATTAATTGATAAAGTCAATGCATTTTCAAGAAACATTCCAGCAAGATTCAAAGGAATATTTGTTACAGTTGTCCTAAAATGTTTATGGAAGATGAAAATTTCAATAAATGGAAGAATTTTTAAAAATATTCAAGTCACAGCTTACCAGATAATAAAAGATATTGGTACAAACTCATAGTATATAAAACAGTGGTGCCTAACATAAAGGCCTGGGGCATAATAAACAGTTTATAACAGAAAATTGTATTGGGTTGGCCATAAAGTTCATATGTTTTTTTAATAAATGCCCATCACTAGATGATTGGATCAAAAAATTATGGTACATTTACACAATGGAATACTACGCAGCAGAAAGAAAAAAGGAACTACTGAACTTCGTGACAGCATGGATGGAACTCGAGAGCATTATGCTAAGTGAAATAAGCCAGGGGGCTAAAGACAAATGCCATATGATCTCACCTATAAGTGGAACCTAACCAACAATACAAAGATGCAAGGAAAATAAGACCAGCAACACTGAAAGGAAAAGAAACCAACAGAGACAAGAGGGAAGGAGGCAGGGAGGCGAGGGAAAAGGAAGGGAAGGAGAAAGTCAAGGAACATATAGCAAGGACTCATGAACAAAGCCAAAGGGGAAGAGTTGAGGGAGGAAGGGGGCAAGGGAAAGTGGTGGGGGGTAGGCAGAGACAAATGTATTTGAAAAAATAAATTTAAAAAAAGTAACACATTTGTCATCTAGCCAGTCCTCTTCATGTCAGTTAGAATTATCTTTTAAAAATATCAATTTATTGAGGTCATTCTCCTGATATCCAATGCTTTTTTTAATAAAGTCTAACCTCTGTAGTATATGATTTATTTTTTCTACCCATCTCAGCATCAACCTACATCAGATTCTTCTGAGACCAAACGCATTTGTTATGCTTATCATGCTTTCCCAACCCATAACTATCATTCAAAATATTATTCATTCTGTACAAATGAGCTCAAATAAATTTTCTCTTGCTTTATTTTAGGACTAATTATTTCTCTTAATACTCATTTATTCTGTATATTTTGTATTTCTTGTGGTAATTTTATTATGGTTATACATCTGCACATACATACAAATATACATATACATATATATAATTTCTTTATAGATTTTTAATTTCTTGAGGACAAGGATCATACTATTTTTATTGTCCCCAGAAACAATAAAATAATTTACATGGAATGAAATTTTGATAAGTGTTTAACAATTAATAAATGATGAATTAATATTTACAAATAATACAAACCTGTTCCCTCCTCTCTGATCTTGGCTTCCACTTCTAACTCCATGCCATACCCTCTTTGTGTCAGCTGAAATACTTTAGTCTTTACAAGTTGTGTGAAACAGCCTTTGCTGTCTGCCTGAAGAGAAAGGAAGAGAATTCCTAGGTCTTCTGATTTGCTATCCAAAGAGTTAGTTATTAACCTATGGAAATTTTTTGTTGACTATAGAAGAAAATTTTACAAATATTCCGACCATATTTTATTCACTTACCCTTTCTCAAGCTCCAAAATGACATAAAATGTCTTTATTAATCATTGAGTTACTTTTGCCAATCTTTGTCTCTTTTCTTCTCTTGAGAGCCTATCCCATTTTTGCCTTATTAAACTTCCTAGAGTATCCAAATGTGCCACTGTATTTTGCAATTGTATTTTTGCATATGTTGTTCCTCAAATGATAACATTCTTTCTCCCATTCATGTCTTGGCCAACAGTTATTGCTCTTCTAGACTTAACCCAAATATAACAACTAAGAAGCCTCTGTAACCATCTCCACCTAAATATTGGCTAAGGATTATATTTTCTCAACTGTATTTTCTCAGTCTCAAAAATTAATGAAAACAAATATATTAATTGAATAGGTCAATTACTATAACATAGTCCTGCATCACTTAGCAACAGGGATACATTCAGAGAAATGCATCTTTAGGTAATTGTGCAAACATCATAGAGTGGAGTGTATTTAAAGAAACCTAGATGGCATAGCCTACTACTCATCTAGGCTATATGGGATAGACCATTGATCCTAGGTTACAGGCCTGTATAGCATGTTACTATGCAAAACAACATGAGGGTAAATCAAGCACGAGAGAAAATGATATAATCAAGAGAGACACAGTAAACATGTGCTGTATGAGGCTGCTCCTGGCATGATGTAGCATACTGTTTTACAAAAAAAAAAACAAACAAAAAAAAACCCACAAATTTTTTTTTTGGTAGAAAGACTATACTCTAAAATAATGATAAAAAGTATAGTATAGTAAATACCTAAACCAGCAACATAGCCATTTATTATCAGATATTATGTAGTGTACCTAACTGTATGTGCTATACTTTTATATGACTGGTAGAGCATTAGGATGGTTTATACCAGCATCACCTCAAATGGGTGAATAATGTGTTGTACTGTGATATTACAGAGAGTAGCATACCAGGTCTATTACTGACTAAAGTATTATTATGAAGCACATGACTGTAATTAGATTTCCAAACTAAATATTGAGAGTCGTGTTTTAATGAAGATTTGTTTTTATTTTTGTATTTACATGAACATATTTATTGTATAATAAAATTTAATTATATTAATTTATATATCAAGGCCATGACTCACTTTAAAATAAAAATTAATTTTAGTCTCTGATACATTAAAGAGTTTGACTGCTAGTTTTTTCTCATATTTATCTAGCAAACTTTGGATACTTCAACATCCTTTTATGCCTTATACATGGCATGTTGATTGCAGTTGGAAAAAAATTACAAAACTAGCCAAATAAATATCACTATAAATCCAGGAGCCCAAACTTCAGGTGGGCTCCTAATGTTGCCACACAATTATACGATGTTTCCCTTAATTCACAATTTTTCAAAGTGACTATTTCAAGCACTACTTTCTATTGTATTATATTCAGAACACAAAATTCTATTGTACTCCTCATAGTATTATAATCCAGGAGGAAGCAAGATCTGGCTTTAATATCCTGGAGAGAATGGTTTCCATATACCTGTTGACTGAATTCTTCACAGATACTTTCTGGATACCTTCCCTGACAGGAGGAATAGGATTGTGAATATTTTCTGCATACATTAATTGTCACCAGTCCAGGAACAGGCTTTCCATATGTGTACCTACAACAATAAAGCAGTCATACAAAAAGATATTTAATATAAATAACTGTTGTTTTTCTCATGACTTGATCCATTCACATATTCATCTTGCTCATTTATAGCAATTGTATTTCCTTCTATAGCATTTGTACTTTAAAAGCACTTATTCTGAAACTGTAATAATTATCTGTGTAAGCAAACATCTATAAGATATATGGAAAAAATTCTTCCTGAGTCTTTTGAAACACTTCTAAATGGAAAATTAGCAATGTGGTTTTTCTCAGATCTTTCCTCTCCCCCAGGTGAGGTTTTATGGTAAGCCAATTTTATTTCCACCTTTCTCTGATGTTAGACTATCTAGGTTATGATTCCAGCTTTGAAAATACTTCTTAATTTTTATGTATTTTAAGAGTATAAAAGAGAAATTAAATGGGAAAACACTAGCTATAAAACAAAAATGTTATAAATAAATATTATAATGACCAATTCTGGTTCTGCCAAATCAGATGGAAGGATATAATGTGGTGTGGTCTGCAGGTTTGTGTTCCCCCACATTCATGTATTGAAATTCTATTCTCCAAAGAGGATAGTGTTAGGGTGTAAGGCCTTTGAGAGGTGTTGAAATCATGAGGGGAAACCTTCACGAATGGGATTAGTACTTCTATAAAAGAGGTTCTAGAGGGATCCCTTGCTTCTTCCACCCTGTGAGGTCAAGGTAAGAAAGCACCAGCTCCTGAGGTCAAGGTAAGAAAGCACCAGCTCCTGAGGTCAAGGTGAGAAAGCACCAGCTCCTGAGGTCAAGGGGAGAAAGCACCAGCTCTGAACGAAAAAGAAGACCTTCATCAGAACTTGACCATGCTCTCACCTCAGTCCTGGATTTCCCAGCCTTCATAGCTGTGAGCCGTGAATTTCTGTTATTTATAAGCTACACAGTCTGTGGTATGTTAGTATAGCAGCTCGAACAGACTAAAGTATGATGCGAAGTCAAACTTAGACTATTGTTTCTCAAAGTATGTTGTATACACCACTTATATTGAAATGACCTGAGATATACACTGAGAGTCAGAGTCGGGAATCTCTCCTGAGATTTATCATTGGAATCTCCCGAGGTGAGGCCCAGGAATCTATATTTTAACTAAGCATCTCTGCAAATTCTAATGAACCTTTAAGTTTGAAACCCTTTGCGTTAGCACAAACTGTGAGGAAGGGGAGATTTGAGCTTAGTGTCCCCAGACTGCTCCCCTTTTAAAATGTTTCCCTCAAATTTCTACAAGTACTAATAAAGTAATAAGTTATTTAGTAAATTTCAATCACTTTGTTGAATGTTATCTTTAAGTTTGAATCAAAAGGTATTTCCTGTGCTGGAAAAATTTAAAGCATCAAAGCTGGTAAGAAGATTGAAAACATGTTTCTCATTCTGTTTTCAAAAGCAAGAGGTGATGTCTCTCCTTGGTACATGTGGAGGATGCTCTACTGCACTAAAAGGCAATCTGGGAAGAAATAACTATGACATATATTTTGAATTCTACATTAGGTATCCGGCATTTAAAATAAAGGGACAGCTTAGCTTCTTCTAAATTTCCATAGTTAAAAAAATTCAGAGCAATTTTAAAAAGGGGGATGAGAGAACACAGAATAACACAGAAGTCATGAGCATGAGCTCCAAAGTTGGGCAGCCTAGTCTTAAGTTAGCACAGTGTCTGAGAAATGTAAATGCTTACGAAGCTAGATTTTTTTTTTTTTAACTTTGGAGGAGAGAATTTTGGTGATGAGTTCTGTGTCTGAAGCCAGGCTATCAGATTTAAATTCCAGTCTGCCATTTACTACCTGTAGGAGCCTAAGCACTTTTTTTTTTTTAAATCCTCTATGTGTTTAAGTTTCCTTATTTGTAGATTGAGGGTAACTAACTGCATCTCATAGGGTTAAGGTAAGACTAAAAATGTTTATAAATACAAGGCACTTAAATTATTGTTTAGCACATTTTGAGTGTTCAGTGAATGATTTTAATATCACTAGTAAAAGTGTCAGATGCTACCGTTCCTGCTCTCTAATCAGGGCTCAGCCAAGTTGGAAAGAGAGTCATTCCTTCTGTGATTAAAATACTTCCAAGTCAAGTAACAGTTATTTGCAATACAAATAAAATAAGAAAATAAAATGAGATGAAAAATATAACTTACAGGCCACATGCAGATACCTCAAGTGTTTCATCTAGAAAACCAATAACCTTGGGCATTTTCAGTTGGACCTCAAATTTGGGCAAAACTGTTGTCAGTAGAAGGAAAAAGAGAGGTGAAAATGGACACGAGATCATGTGAGTACTAGTAATAACTCTATTACAGAACCTTTTAACATAAGATCACACGAAATTACAATTTGGAGCAGCAGGGGCACTACTGAGAAGGAGATGTCATACATAATCATGGGCAGTTTGTATCACATTGATTTGGTTAAGCTGATACTACATTTCCTTGACTCTCCTTGTCTTTCACTTGTTCCATATTTCAAAGGTGGAAGGAAAGCAGCACCCCAAGTCTCTGAAGATCATCATGGTTAGGTGTAGTAACAGGTACAGTGAGGCCAGTAAGCTCCATTTGTTCTTATTCTTTCCCTCTGTGCCCAGTTCTTCTTCTGAACCACTAGCCCTGCTCACTAACACAGGCCCTAGACCCACCATCAGACACTTGGCTACAGAAACACTGAAGTGGTAACTATGAAGAACTAACAGCCTTTCATAGTTTCTTCTACCAGTTTTTCTTCATGGTCCCCATGATTACTTCAGGAGAACTGTTAGTGATTTCGTCTGATCCACCAGTTCCTGATGGACATTTAATTTTCTGGTCCCTCCCATAGTTGTGTAAAGTTAGTTATTCAGATAATAAATCCCTGCTAGCCAATCGTAAATACTCTAATATTATAAATGTCTTGGGCACATGCAAAATTCTTACCATATTCATCCACCTGAAAGGAATGCTCTATTTTACTCCCTGACGCCTTCTGCACAATGACTTTGTAGGTACCCAGAGTGGGCTCCACTGAGAGTGGGAAGGAGAGCTGGTTGAGTCCCCCTTTCAATGAGAGACTTTGCCATTGGAAAATTCGGTTCCTCTTAGGATTCTATAGGTAAAAACATTATGAGTTCATAGAAACAATTGAAATACATACTTTTGATAAAGAGATATTGGGGAGGGTGACATTGAAAGTTGGATATCAGATGGTTGGTAAATCGGCACCAAAGGTAATAAGAAAGTTTTATAAGAATTCTAGATTGAGAAAAAGGCAATCAGTTTAACAAGCTATGAGATATTGCAAATTATAGTACTTCATTTTGAGATTAACCAGATATATTGTGGTCAGAAATATTGGAAGAGTCACTAAATTGCATCATCCTAGGGAATTTTGTTCCTCCATTTACATCTTATCCACTCTTTAATATGTTTAAGGAAAACCAGAAAAATAATATTTATTTAGTTTTGGTGAAATGCTAATGGAGATAGAAGAGGTGGAGAAAGGCAGTTTGATATAACTTGTAGTAAGTCCTTATCCCAATTAAGATACAATGGTATATTACCTACCTCAATATAAACCACTGGGAACTGAAAAGAAAGAAAGAATACGAGCATGAGGTAGAGTTCACAGAGAAAACCATGATATCAGCATTGATAGAGTATCTGGGTCAGAGGAAGTGAACGTGTATATTTCTTGTCCAGGCAAGCAATTATGCCCCAATTTGTCTCACAGCACTCTATACATTTAGTTTGGGACACACGTCTTTTAAGAAGTCATGTCTTTCCCTTTATGAAATAATGTAAAACTGAGGAAACCTACACTCAGGTAAAAAAAAAAAAAAGGTCCAAATAATAAGTTTATTTTGCAGATGATATTTACCTCTAAGAAATTCTTCATTTCTTTTAGAGAGAATTAAAATGTAGTTATTTTTATTTGTTCAATAAAAATAACTGTTATCTTTACAAATATCATATAAACGATATTTAATTTATTTTAAGGATGTAATTGGTGAACGGATTTCTCTTATCCTTCAGAAGTTGTACTCTTATGAAATCTTTCTGTGGTAGGTTTAAGCACCTCATATTGGTCTTAGGTTCTACAACAGGGCAGGCTTTTAACCTTTTACATGTTTCTCCAAACCTCACCCATCATTATGAGACTCACCGTTTCATTCAAAGGGAGAAAACTGATATCCACAGAGACAATGCGGAATCTCACTGAAACAGAGATTTTTCCCATGAAACCCTCCAAGGGGAATCCAAGGTAATAACACAGATAACAACATATCAGGACTTTCATAACTGCAGAATAATGTAATAAAGAATCTCACCCTCCCGGACCGCCTGCCCCTTAATGTGCCCTTGTTCATTTGATTCTTTTTACCTGTTTGTCCCGGTTTGTAGGTAGGTTTGTCTGTCTGGACAAAGACTAGGCTCTCTACTTTCATTACTTCCATTGCCTTCCTCTTTTTGAACTCCTGGGTCGGTCCTTTCACCTTCACAGTAATGAATACTGAGGAAGTTGGCAACTCTGGAATCTGTAAAACAGAAATAGGAGCTGAAGAATCTGCCCAGACCAACCCACTTCTGCACGTTTCAGCCTTTATGATCTCATTTCTCTGGTTAGTTCCAAGAGAATTAGTAGGGGATATGGTCAAGGATTATTACCCCTGTTTTATAGACTATTATGACTGTGTAACATTACAGTAACAATTCATTGATTAAATTAAAGGGAAATAGCATTGCAATAAAACAATCTTCAACCAAGTAATGACAGAAGTAAATAACATGCTTGTATTTCACAGCAATTATATGTTATCATTGGTAGTAACATATAATTGTCAGCATGATTAACTAAATATTTAATACCTTAAGTAATAGAAGGTTACTAGGGCAATACATTAACCATCAGCCATCTCTGAGACTTAGATAAATCACTTAACTTGATGAATGTTAGTGTTTATATCTCTGACGAAATAAACATTGTCTTAGAAGTTTACAAGCAAATAAAATCTTTCCTATATCTACAGTTAACTTTTGTGTATTTCACTACGTCTGTTTGTAAATATTATCTAAGCACATTCAATAGAATTTTCATATTTAGAATCTAATTTGAAATTCACTCTGCACTTCTCATTCTTTCTTCGTTACACTTTTTTTTTTGTTGTTGGGGGCAGAAGACAAGGCATCAATTAGTATGTGCTTTCATTAACAATCTCCCTTATCCCAAAGAGTGATACTGACAGTGAAGGGGCTGCAGTAGAAGGAGTTCTTCTCTGTCACCAGGTCTGAGAGGAGGGACTTGTTGTGTATTCCATACTCCAGAATTATGTCCAGTGTCACTGTCTCATTCAGGTGATTAAGCATGACACAGGCCTTCTCAGGAACTCCACTGTACAGCTGTGATGGGACCACCACCAGGTACTGCCTGTGGAGGAGGAGAGTATGACTCAACCATGGAGAGGTTAAATAGACATCATTATTGTGGCTATTTCCAATATAATCTTTGTAATTGTTACCAATCAGAATAAAGCCAGATTTCATCAGGAGTATAGAGAAGTGTATTCTTTAAAAGCCAACTCAAAAGATTTTAGAAACTCAGAAACCCAACAAGTGATACATGTATATGCTTCTCTTGTAGAAATGTTCACCCTGGCAATATTTATAAACTTGTTTATAAGCTATGAATTAGCAATCCATGAATTGTATGTATTTTGCAATAATTTTCAAATTTAGTAATAGATCAAGAAAATGGGATTATATATAATTGAATATTACTCAGCCTTAAAAAAGAAGGAATCCTGCCATTTGTGACAACATGGTTGTTGCGGGAGGCGACACATTGTGGGGAGCACGGGGTATGGGCACTCCTGGATCTGAGGGTCACTGTCCAGAGCCAGCGGAGGAGGGAGTGGGGCTCTGAATCCCACAGAGTCTGTCCCAGGGTTGTCATCGATTGGGGCAGGAGGGAATAAACACGAGTCATCGCAAACACTTCCCTGTTTCCCAGGGAGGGGACATGGCACTCCCCTCTAGTGGGGAAGGCCCTGAACCCCCATGTCCAAAGGCTTTTATTGAGACCCATATACACAGAGGTATGGATGCAAAGCTCATCAATCAATGTCAAAAGGCTATGTTTACAGAAAACAGACAGAGATCATGGATAACAATTGGAGGAACACAAGAGATCTACCTCAGGTCAGGGTCTATGAATAATGTAAATCTCCTTCCCAATATGAGCCAGTCATCATAGCTTTTGAGGGAAGAACAAAACATGCTTAGAGGAACTTCTAGCCCTGATTGTCCCCAGGAGCTGCCCGATCCAGGTTAGGGCTGTATCTGCCTTTAGTATTGTTTCAAACCTGAGCCAGGTGGGCAGGGCAGAACCACGAAGGGATAAGGAAAATTCTTTAAGATAGAATGAGGACCCTGGCCATGTTCAAGCCTAGCCTAGGGGTGTGGGCCTTTTTGCCCTTTCTCCATATCCCCCAAGTCCTTGTCTGCTGCCCATACTAGCCAATGTCTGTCTTAGGTCATTCCTCCTCATGAGAAAACTTACCCATCATCAACAACCAAACATCACAGGGCCAAACAGGGTGATGTGAGGGAGGCAGGGGCTGCGTCCCTGCCAGGGGGACAGGTTTCATCTCCTCAGTGGCCTGTTTTCCCAAGGCCTCCTTGATTAGCTCCAGCCTTGGGTCCTCTCACCTGACAGTGGGGCTACAGTCCCTGAAACCAGACTGGGGTTTCCCAACACATGGCCATCCATGTTGAGGACATTATACTAGTGAAATAAGCCAGAGAAGGATAATGCTGCATTTTATCACTTATATGTGGAATCTAAAAATAAATAGATAGATAGATAGATAGATAGATAAATACAGATAGATTCATAGATAGAAAGCAGGATGAAAGCTTTGGGCAGGGGACTTGGGAGGTGGAAGGACTGAGCAAAAAAGAAAAAGAACTCATGGACTCTGACAACTGTGGTGATGGTGGGGGGTGGGTGGAGGTAGAAGAAGCTACAGGAAGAAAAATGGTAATGGAAAAATATAACAAAAAACTATTAAAATCAATTAACTAAAGTCTTAAAAAAAGAGAAAAAAAATTGAATTCATAGAAACAGAGTAGAAAAATGGTTGCCAGGGGTAGGATGTGAGAGGAATAGAGATATATTGGTAAAAAGGTACAGACTTTCAGTTATAAGATGAATATGGTCTGAGGATCTAACATAAAACATGGTGACTATAGTTGATAACAGTCTATTGTATAACCTAAATTTGCTACAAGAGTAGTACTTAATGGCGTCACACAAAAAAAGTAAATGTGTGAAAAGTGAGTGTGCTGATTAACTCAAGAAGGGGATTCTATATATATGCATTATATATATATGCATATATAAAATCATCATGCTATCCACTTTAAATATCTTATAATTTTTTTGTCAATTGTCAAAAAAAGCAGAAAATACATTTTATTTTCTTTAGCAAAAACAAAATGTGATTCATCAATTAATCATCACTGAAAGCATTAAGAACATGTCTTTATGTAGTCTTGGGTTTGTTTCATATGGAAGATATCAAAAAATTTCATTGTTCTAGGGAACAATAAAACAAATCCATTTAATAGATGAGGAAGAGTTGAATTGCTTTTTACTACTATTCCATTTATTTATTTATTTAACTTTATTTTGATTGTTTACTCTCTTATGGATGTCCCCATTCCTCCCCACCCCGCCCTTGTTTTTATTACTGTTTTAGAAGGTACTATATCTCTTTTCTATCTTTCATTCTCTGGTGATTAAAGAAAAGCCATGCCAAGCTGGCCTCATCACCAAACACATTACCACATAAACCCAAGATAAAATACCACTCTCTTGTTGTTCTTTGCTCATTATTAATAATCACCTAAATATGCTGCACTTTGAGAAGCTCTGCTTGTCCATGCCTTTTCTACTTCTAAAGGGTCCTTGGTGTGATGAGCAGGACCAATAAAATGGCATTGGTCTGGTGAAAATAGCATAAAATATATAAAATAAAATGGAGTACTCATTTCACCCAAGATGGCTGCCAGTCAGCCATGACACTTAGGTTCAACAAAAAAACTGCCTAAGTCATGCTAAACACATCTGGCAAGGAGACACACCTAAGATATCTGCACATGTGGCCAGAACAGCTGTGTCTGCAGAGCGGGAACACCCATAGACAAGCTCCTGGGGAAATTCCCCGCTTTGAATGAGGGTGCCAAGACACTTATCAAGAGACCCAGAAGGGTGGTACACCACCCTCAAGGGTATAACTGAGGCAAGTTCCAGACCACAGCTGAGACAGCTGAGCTCCACACCACATTGATTTCCCTTGGCATCGACCTCTGGAGGCTCTGCCTTGCTGGGCTGAGGACTTCATCTGCCCTGCTGCCCCCCTGGCTCCAGGGAGCCTTCCTTGCAAGACACTGATGGATCCTTTGTCCACTGTGCTGTCTCCCTGACCTGCTGACTGAGACTCTGGGATTCAGGTTAGTTATTCCCCATTGATTGCTGGGTATATATGTTATATTTCTCTTAGATTGTTAGAATGTGAGTAGGATATTAATGTATGTTGATGTTCTACTTTGAGTGAACCTGTACTCAATAAAAGCTGAGTGAATAGCATAGTTACCTTGTGTGACTCTTGTCTATTCCTTGGTGTTGGGTTGCTCAGTGGGCGGCTAGCTGAGCAGTTGCCCAGCTGACTTATAGGAAAGACTGTATCGTGAACATACACTTGGGACCCCTTGTTTACCTGTAAAACTTCTATTTGCTTCATAAAACTTATCTTGAAGACGATGTCCCTATGCAGGCTTCAGAGATGCCCCTTCCCTTATTCCAGGTCCCATAAGGAGTTAAGTTTCTTTTGTAAATATTCTCACAGAATCCTGCATTACCTGTTTCTGGTTTTGCACTGAATTTCATTCTGTGTACCAACTCTCTTATCTATCCCGTGAGGTATAGAGGACAGGGTCTACATTTTGTTAATCTTTCTAGTACCAAGATCTAATGCTAGCCACTAATGTTTTCCTGAAGGATTGACTGAACTGACACACAAATCCTGGCTTATCTGTGGGTATGCATCCATTTTCTCAAGTACTGACTTGAGGAAAGGCAAATAACTGAGTCACTTCACAATGACCATAACACTGTGCCCCCTTTTCATGAGCTAATAAAGAATTTATCTCTTTTTTGGGGGGCTATAGTTCAGGATTCTATGTTCTCTATATTTTATGAGTGCTGTAGAATTCTATAGTCTTTAATTTTTACTTTTTAAAAGAATTTTATGTTTTTATTTGGTCAATGTTTCATAAATGTTACTGCCTTATGTCTGAGTTTTCTAGAATTACAGTAGACTTTATCCCATGAAAGCAATAAGCACTTTAAAAAAGAAAACTTGTATTGAATTTACAGGGGTGGCATTGGTTAATAAAATTCTATAGGCTTCAAGTGTATAATTCTATAACACACCATCTGTATATTGTATTGTACATTTACCACCCAAAGTCAAGTCTCCTTTCATTACCATTTATCCCCCTTTATCTTCTATCTACTCCCCCTCATTTTCCCTCCAGTAATTGCCATAATGTTGTCAGAGAGATTATTTTAAAAATAAAAAAATAAAATAAAAGGTCTCCACCTTTTTCACCTAGTTCCCATCTTGTTCCCATCTGACAGTTGTTAAATCTGTTCTCTGTATCTATGAGTCTGTTTTTAGCTTGCTTGTTTATCTTGTTTGTTAAATTCCACATATAATTGAAATGCAATAACAACTTAATGACCCTTCTAAGCCCTTTTGACAACAGATCATTTCACAGGGAATCAGAAAATAAATAAAAAGATAGATATCAAGAAGCAAATAACACAATGGGAAAGAGGTGAAAATAGACTTTCTGGAAATTTTGCTTACGGTTTTGAAGTAGCTGAGGCATCTCTGGGAAGGAGCAGAAGAAGCAGAATCCAGACTGGATTGGGCAGTTCACGTCCCCTCATGGTGTGGAGAGGAAAGGGAAATAAAGGGAGTCTGAGCCCTTGATTCCTTGAACTCTGCTCTTATCCCCAAATCACTGGTTTTTATTTTACCTGCTAGTCAATGAAAGTGAACTGCTAACCATTTGTTTTTTGTAACATATTAACCATTCCCGGTATAAAAAAATCAATTCCAGATAATTTCCACAACTATCAATATTCTTTCATCTATTTTCTCAAATTTTCTAAAACATTGAAAAATAGTGCTTTGAGGCTACACTGGCTCTGGTTATTAATCTTTACTTTAAATATTTTTAATGCAAAATGAAATAAATTACATAATTTGATAAAATCAATCAATACTTTTGATTTCTCTTTCCTTTTTTAAAAAGAGCTATTAATGTAAATACCTATCTGGGTGCTGGGGGAGGAGCAATCTAAGCAGCTTTCAGTTGTGGAGATAGTCACTGAAATCAGTTACTTGGTACTGTTAGTCAGGTAGAAGGAAACTGGTTTCTCAAAATTTGGGTTAAGTAAGAAATGAGGAATGAAAGTATCACTGATATACATTTTATTTTTAAGTGAGGAAATAATTGTAATAAGATTAATATCTTTGAGCTTTCACAATATCTCAAAGTTCTACATCCTTCTACATGTGGCCATTCATTTAATCTTCACAACAGTGCTATTAGGCACATACCATTTTATCACCATTTAACATAGACATGGAAGTGAGTAGAAAGAAGAAATCTCATGAGGACACACGGAGAGGCGGCTATGAGTGGCAGGGAAGGGGTTCACTTGGAGACAGTGACGGTGGGATTTAGGGAGAAGGGGGAACTAGATGGGTGGGTACGTGGATGTAGCTCGGGGATTGGGACGGCACCGCGACATGGTGTGATAACCAAGAAGGACTGTGGTGCTGCAGAGATATCTAGAGCACGTTTCGGAAACTAAATGAGTGCAGAATAAGAAACAATATTTGGTTTGACTCATCGAGAGATGCTGGGTAGCAGCAGCATGTGCACTGTGGCCGTTTGAGCAACGGGGCTCTCAGGGACCAAATCCTGTCCCTCTTCCTCAGTCTGTGCTTTTCTCCTCCATCTGGTATTCTGTTCTCCTTTAAGACCTCGCAGAGGCCATTTTCTCGTGGCCTCAGCCCAGGCTCTGCAAGGCTGGGTGTGGCTCCTCTCTGGCTCAGACCCTCCTGACTGCGTCCTTCTCTTGGAGCATGAATATCACTGCCAGCCCCCCGGTCCCAGCACCCTATCTTTCCTAGCCGATGGCTGTAAGACCTTCTTCTTTTCCCATAACAGGATGTGCCGCCCTCATAACCCTATTATTGCTTTCTTATGTCCCCGATGAATCCCAACCTTTCATTCCTCCCAAGCCTTCAGAACGCCTTTCCTTCCCCACTCCCATCTTCACTCCCGCCAGCCCCATCCCGGCCTCCCCCTTTATGTGGGTGACAGAGACTAGTGCGCATATGAACCTGTATGCCTACCGGACTTCCGTGTGGATCTGAATGTGACTGTGAATGGCAGTGACGGTATAAGGGGCGTACGGAAGTAAGGGCGTATTTGTGCCCATTTATATATGTGCATGTATCTGTTCCCCGGGTGGGAAAAGGCAGCCGGGAGTACATTGATTAAAGTCAAAAAGATGGTCAGTCTTACCTAAGAAAAAAGGTTAACTACACAAAGATATGCACAGGAGGGTGATTATCCAGTTTTTGTAAATTGAAAACATCGGAAATTTCCATTATGAAGAGATTAATTAATTTTTGGTTAATCTTTCAGTGAAATAGTATGAGTTACAAAAATATTATATTACATATTCCTCGTGTGTGTGTGTAGAGAAAGAGATGAAAATATTACGGGAAACAGGTTAAAGCAGTTGAATATTTTTAATTACATTTACATATTTTTGCTTGCAAAAATATCTGAAAATAATTGCTTAAACAATAATGTGGTTGCATCTGGAAAGGCAATTATTTTTTAAACTGCATTTTCTGATTTGCCACAGTGAACATGTGGTATGTGAGTAATAAAAAATATAAAATTGTGAGACAATAACACTATTTTATGTGTAGCACAAATGCAAAGAGTAAGCACAAAGGAGGAGATACACTATTATGTATCATTTAATTATTTAGGCATCTAAGTTATAAGGCAAAGGTCACATTATAATCACCATTCAAAAATAATTTTAATAGTCTATCAGATGATAAATTAAATACATCTTCAAGAATTTTGTGGAAAATAAGCATTGAAGCAGTCCTATGTTCTCTGTAACATCATTTACAATGTCCAAGATGTGGGAGCAAACTAAGTGCCACCGATAAATGAGTGGATAAAAAACTGTGATACAACAAATTAAAAAAACACTGTGGTACATATATACAGTGGAATATTACTTGGTCATAAAAAGAATGCAATCTTCCCTGGCTGGTCTGGCTCAGGTGATTGAGCACCAGCCTGCGAACCAAAGGGTTGCTGGTTTGATTCCCAGTCATGGCACATGCCTGGGTTGCAGGCCAGGTCCCCAGTAGGGGGTACTCAAGAGGCAACCACACATTGACGTTTCTCTCCCTTTCTCCCTCCCTTCCCCTCTCTAAAAAATAAATAACTAAAATCTTTTTAAAAAAGTGCCTGGACCTCTGCAAATCTTCAACAAGTTAAAAAAAAGAAAGAATGCAATCTTACCACTTGTAACAGCATGGGTGGACCTAGAGTGTATTATATCAAATGAAATAAGTCAAAGACAAAAATCATATGATTTCACTTATATGTAGAATCTAATGAGCAAAATAAACAAACAAAATAGAAACAGATTCACTCAAGATACAGAGAACGAACTGATAGTTGCCAGAGGGGAAGGAGATTAGGGGACTGGGTGGGAAAAAAGTGAAGAGGTTAAGAAGTACAAATTGGAAGTTACAGAATAGTCACAGGGATGTAAAGTACAGCATAGGAAATACAGTAAATGATACTGTAATAACTGTGTGTTTCCAGGTGGGTACTGGAAATATCACGGGGACAACTTTATGATTTACACCTGAAACTAATACAAAGCCATATTGAATGTAAACTGTAATTGAAAACTCAAAAATAAAAAAATCTAATATACCTAAGAAACTTGGTAAAATTGAAATATTAGTTTAATTATACTTTTATTGATATAAAGTGATATAAATGATATATATATTTATCATTTATTTAATAAACTCACAAATATATACCCCCTATGACAATTATCCCACTTTTGAGTTTTAAGATAAGGTAGAGAGTCTTGCTGGGTACTTATTACCTAGATGAAATAAGACTTCTACTTCAATATATTTTTCCATGCTCTCTGCTTTAATCTATATTAAAAAATTACTAAGTGTAATTCAGATGATTATACCCAATTCTGCCTCATGACAATAAAAAATGTTCCTATCAAAATCACATTATGACATGAATACAGGTTTGTTGCTTTTGTACAGCTCTAGAAACATGCACCAAATGTATATAATAAGTTTTACGGCTTAGTAAAAATATAGAAATTTCTCAATGCAGCTTAAAGTTGAGAATAGGATCCTAAGATTAACGAATCTTCTGAATACCAGCATTCCCCAATGTATAGAGTACACTTTAAACCTACTCCTAAAGCCTCAGTGAGGGGGAAAAGGGTGGGAGAAAGATGAATAGAGAGCCAAGACAAGGAGTTCTGCCCAGAGCTCATGGTTTCTTTATTCCCCTGGCCTCTCTTCCCATCTCTGGTTTCCCCCAGAAATCTACACCCCAGAAATCTCTGCCAGTGGACAGAACCAGAGAGCTCTTTCTCTGATTGGCTGACAGTGAGGGTGGGAGGGAAGCCACAGGGCTAGCATGCAATGTTAGGGTTCTTCTTGACAATCCAATTTGGAAATTACGAATTATGTTTCTTGTATATGGAAAAACAAAACATAGATATATATAGTAGTTCACTTCTGCCATTAGAACATTTCGCTGCAAGTTAAACCAATTAGTGTGTTTGGGCTTAAAAGCTAACCCCCTTTTAGGACATTTTTTAATAGGGAAAAAAGTGCTCTGAATTCCATATAACTTTCTTATAAACAACCATTTGAAGAATGGAGACAGAAATTACCTGATAGAGTTACAAGGATTGAGTGTTTCTTGCCTCCAAAGTCAGCAGGGCAATTGAACGGGGAAAATTGTGGGGCTGACAAAGCCGTGTGCAGATCCCCTCAATGTGCCATGGGTAAAATTTTGCCTGACAGACTAAAGCAACACGACTCTTGTCAGCCCTTTATCTCTGCTGGCAAATATCATGGAATTGGCTCCAGTTGAGACTTTGCTGCCAAACCACTTCATCGCCTGGCCTAAGGTCTCAAACTCTCTTCTGGAAACTGTGACTATGGTCCAGAGGTTGTGTAAAGCTTTATAAAAGGTGGCCTAAGCAAACTTTTCTTTCTCTTAGGTGTACCTGAGCAACTGACTTTTTTTCTAGAAGGGTATCAGAAACAGACCAGAGTCAATAGTCACTTATATAAAACTGGTATTTTAGAATGGCTCTTTAGATATTAAATAATTCAAACCTAAGAACCCAAGGTTCTCAAACATCTCTTCTTCCCACCAACAGAAATAAAGTAAGACACTTGAAGGATTTAAATAACCCCAGTGGACCTTCTTGATAGGAAGAGCGTAGCATGTGAAGGGAACTGTCCACATCATTGGTGAGAGCAAAGGCCTAGACTTAAGGCTAAGGAGAAAACAAAGGAAAGAATTCAGAAGAAAAACCAGCTTGTGAAGACCAAACCCAGTCCCTTGTGAATGAAAGAGGGAGGTCCCTGTATAAGATCTGGCCAAGGTTTTGAATGGCAGAAATGAGGCAGCTCAGAGAATCAAGGTACAAAAATTTTCCCATAAATCATATGACTGGTTTTTGACAGCTCCCAGGGAAAAACAATGAAGGCATTTAAAGAAAAGGCTGCAGAACAATATACTGGGGCTAAAGTGAAAAGGCTCTGGGCATTAGCACCCCTAGACCCAGGCAGAGAAACCATATCCACAGAAGGCTAATGGCATTAGGATCTGATGGGGGGTTTATTC